TCTGCAGGCCTCTGCTCTTCAGTCGTTCTCTCACAGACTGAAGAGTAAGTCCCATACTACCTATGCTTTCTTACATGTTTACTTACTGGTACTTGTAGCCTCTCTTTGTGCGGCTTACAGGTACAGTACTATGCAATCAGAGTCGTTCTCTCACAGACTGAAGACCTCTCTTTGTGCGGCTTACAGCCTTCCAGGTTCAGAGTTCATCAAGGTCGGCGGGTAAGGAGTGGCCTCAGAGCTATGCGCACCTCTGTACCGTACACATATAATCACCACTGCTGCATAGTTGTCTTCGTCCTGGTCGTAGCGCAGGACATGTTACTGGCACCATCAGTGCCGGTGTGGTACCGATATGGCGTGGCATGGCTGTCGAAGTCGACAAGGCGCGGTTTCAGTACATTCAACACTCTTGAAATGGAGTGAACCAGTACATTGACCTCCGTCGGCCACGTTATTCAACACGTAGTATGCACCTAACGAGGTCTTGAGCGAGTCTTGAGAAAGAACGACTCGTTAGAATAAGCACCGTCAGATTGAGGAGAGCTAATGGACGCGCGTCTATCTAATCATCTTTGTTTGTATATGTACTAGACGTCTGTGCCCGTGCTCCGCACGGGCTTCCCTGTCTGAATTATATACCTTAGCGGAGGCTCCCATGAGAAAGCGGAACATCCCGGTAAGATAGTGTGCTCGCAATTCCGAGTGGTCAAAGTGAAATGACCCGCGGCGTGCGCTGTAATTTCCTGGTCAGAGCGAAACCATATATAAATTGCCCTGTAGAGCACGGGCTTCTCGCGAAACGCGAGCCCACTCGCGAGATTGTCCGCACCTCCTGCGCGACCTGCGGCACCGGGTAACAGTGACGCCCAGCCTACAGTCGGACGCAAGCTCTCCCGTGGCCGTAAGACATTTTCATCAGGCGTAACTCACCCGTAAGCTGTTAGAGAAATTACCCAGTGTTCGAGGGAGAGGACCAAGTACTTCAGCTAAGGCAATTGGCAAGCGGTAGAGGCGGTTATTGAGGAAGATGCGATCATGTTGAAGCGATGAAGCGAGGGCAGATGGACACACACTTTGTGGCTCAAATGGAGGGGGAAAAACCTGCTCCATTCAAAGGCGGGAGTTCACCTCTAAGTACTGGAACACGCGCGGCCCCGCAACCGTTCTCGCGGTCGAGGCCCCCGCGGCTCTTTGTCGTAAGCTACTGGCACATTAACATAAGTCCAAATTGAGTAGGAAGCATAGCCATCATGGGGTCGCGTCTGGCAGTCTGTCACCCGCGCAGTGCATCAATCTCGAAGTATGGGTGTGGCGCGAAGTCGTTCCACCCGACGCGGCTCCTATTTACATACACTTGTCACTTCCTGTATGACTGTGGGAGCTTGCGCTGACGACTTTGACTGCCTACTGACTTCTTGACCTCTTGTGCATTGCTGGTTTCGATGTCTGTAGGGAGGGGAATGATAGTGCAGTTAGGAACGGGGAGAGATGGCACATATAGTCAGGTAGAGTCTCAAAGCATGGGAGGTATGGAACACGAACGGGAACAAGAGATGGGGAACAAGAAAAGAAGTGTGAGCCAGGCCAAAGTTGTACACTGAGTCCATAACACACAACACGTTGAGTCTGTCTTCCAGCCACCGATCCCGCAATGCAACATGTGGCATACGCGCTTCTTGGGTGCTCATGATCGTCCTGCGGCACCTGTGATCGCGACATGTTGTTCGTGGGGGAGGGCATGTCGCTTGTTTGATGCTTGAAGCTTTTGCTGGCCCGTAGGTTCCTGCGGTCTAGATGTTCAGCGTCATCACACTACCACAACAGATGCACCTGTAAAGTTCCACGACAATACAATGTACATCTTTGTGTGTATATGTCAAATTGTGGAGCAAACAGATAATGTTGTATTCAGGCTTCATATACCACTGTAGAGATTACATACTTTCATTTTCCTCTACTTACATTCCTTTACTGCTTATCAAAGTGACTGCTTCATTTTGCTATCCCCGATTGTTGACTGTTGCACCATGCGGTGATGTGCACTCACTGCGCCTGCCACCTGCCGCGGTGTGGGCACCGCTCTCAAGCTCAACTGCCCCGACACCTACCTCCACACAGGTGTTGGGCCCCAACTGGCACCCTGAACTGCCCCAAACCACCCCGATTCACCACCCACGAGTCAAGCAAAGTGGGCCACGACAGGCGGCACCAACCAAGGGTGCCAAGCCCCACCAAGCATTGGGGCTTGGGGGACAGTGTACCACGGTCCACACCCAATGTGTGTGTCGGGGGTTGCAGTGCACGCACCCTTGCCCACCAATCCCACCGTGTGGGACGTGTGGCACCAACAGCCTAGGTGTGGTCCATAGAGCATGGCCACTGTCAGGGCCCTAATTGCCGTGCCCGTCATGCCCTGCGCAGCAGGTGCCCCCTCTATCTCTATCCTTCCTGTACGGTGATGCACTCAAGCCTCCCGTAACGGCCGCTAGGACGCCGGGGTCGATGGGCCAAGAGGACAAGACCCAAGAAGTGACTTGTATGAGCGGGGGTTTCCAAGTATAATCCTGAGTTCCCTACAAACATGGAGGGCGTGGGAGGGGGTTGAGCAAGCTTATCGCTCCTGACCCAAGAGTAGGGGATTGCGCGGACACTGGTCGGCGGGCATAACATGATGCAGGGTACCAAGGCGCTGTGACTTCGGGGAGGTGCTCACTGTAATTGACGTGGATGAGGGTGTCGGGGCGCTGTCGGGGAGGAGTTCGCAGATGTGGTCGGAGTTGGAGTCACAGACGCAGGCACAATTGCAAACTTCAGCTCTAAAGGGGCAAGAGAAAGTGGATTTCCCAAAAGGTCAGGGGCCTCGTATATATAGGAAGGGCCTGAGCCAATAGATAAAGTAGGTAAAGTAAATACCCACCGCGCCGAGCGTGGCGAGTGCAATGATCGGGGTGCGACACTGAGGCCATGTGCACCCGTCGGGGTCTGGGCCGCCTGTGCGCGCGCATGACCGGCATGGTGATTGGGTAGAGGGTCGGTCACGCTGCGCGCGCCCCGATGTTCGCTCGGCCGATGTTGCCCTATTGCAGGGAGGCTAGGTCTTGGCGTCGTGGTCAGGGCAACCTCTCGGGGTGAACCCCAAACTGCTCAACTCGCGGGTGGCTTGGTGTTGTGTGCTAAAGCCCCATCAACCCTTGGGGCCTGTGCGGGCATCAGGGTGTCGCACACTGGGGTGGATGAGCTCGAGAGCAGGGGGTACACCGCGGCGGCTGGCAGGCACGGTGAGTGCGCATCAATGGCTCCAGCCATATACATGGGCCCTGAGCTCTAGGAAAATCCACTTTTCTCTTACCCCATCAGAGCTCAAGTTTGTGATTGTGCTTGCGTCTGTGACCATGACTTTGACCACATCCGCAAGCCCTTCCCTGATAGCGTCCCCGATGTCCTTGCCCCACTGCATACAGTGAGTACCTCCTCAAAGCCCGAGCACCCTAATATTCTGTGTCGTGTTACGCCTAACAAGTCGTGTCTGCACAACCCCCCCCTCTTAGGTCAGGAGTGATAAGCTTGCTTGGCCCTTCCTTGTGCCCTCCGCGTTTGTAGGGAACTTGGGATTGTACTTGGAATCCCCCACTCATACAAGTCACTTCTTAGGTCTCATCCTCTCGGCCCATGGACCCCAACATCCTAGCGGCCATTACAGGAGGCTGAAGTGCATCATGCACCAGTGGCAGGTGTCCTTGACTCTGTGAAGACCACTGCCCATTGAACCAAAAAGGATTGTTTGTCAACTACAATATACAAATCAACCATAGACCATGTCAAGAAGCCAAGAAAATGTCTAATGAACGAGTGGGTGTCAAAGAAAATGAAAGGAAATTGAAAGTGTCAGGCCATGCTCTCTCTGTCTATCCTAATCTCCTGAATTTCTCCTTCTAGCACGGGCTGGCACTCCTCCTCCTGCGGTGGTGCAAATTCAAGTGATTGCAGGTCGTCCTCATCATCATGGAACGAGCGAATTGAGCCCCCAATGACACCAAGGTATTCTGGGAGCTCAGGCAAGCCTGCCTGCAGTTTGCCACTGCTGCCGGTGTTGAGAGAGAGGGAGGATATGGATGTGTCCGCTGCCCCTACAAGCTGTGCCTCTGTTTCATGAAGGGCGAGCAGGAAGTGGCTGTTTAGGATGGAGGAGATGCTGTGGAGAACGTTTATGGTGAGGACTAGTAACAGTAATGAATGTAATGAGGGCCTCAGTCTCACGGGTCAATGAAGTTCAAAATGTAGGAGGATGCATCACCCGGTGTTAGGGCAATCTTAAAAGAAAAAGTGTGAATATCATTATATGCACATTTGTCAAAGTGCGTACCGAAAGGATAACTAGCACCAAATCCACCATATTCATGGAGACTAGTGTGCTGCACGCAAATGCTTGAAAACACCAGCTATAGAGTTATATTGAGAACTGACGGACCAGAAGTAGAACATTCCTGTAATGCAGACCACACATGCAGATCAGAACTTTATGCCTGTTTGGAGGACTATGTCAAACACACCATTTTCCCATATGACCTGTTCAAGAGAAGGCCGTTTTGTGCCTCCTGTCCTCAGCTGAATCGCTGCACGTGTTTGGTGCCAGGTGATGGCAGCAGCCAGTGAGTCAACAAGGATCAGAGAGCCCCTTGAGGCAATGACCACTGTCCGAGCAGGTCAATAGCTGCCTGTTTGCCAGGAACTGCTGTACTAACATCTGCCATACTGAGTGGTGAGCACAATGCACATACTGCTGAGTACAATTGGAGGAAGAAGACCCACCCAATGTTGAGGCTCCTGCTGGCTGTGTTGGTTGAAGTGCAGTTCAGCGGTGGTGGGAGATTGATGGGAGATTCCTGGTATGCAGTGCTCTGTGGTTGTACCCATCAGCAAGTGCATGGCAATATACAAGACATAGGACTGACTGCATTGATGAGGAAGGGCCCCATGCTCAGCACCAGGGCCACCCCACCTAGGATCCTATTCTTTCTTGAGAGTGCATATATTCGCAGGGTAGTGAACACTGGTGTATCTTGTCAGCAGGTATGGTTGTGGTGAATAGCATACATACTCACTAGCTGGCCCAATCATATTCAGCAGATATAGGACTTCAGTAAGCCAGACAAGTGAAGTGCAGCTTGCAGCAGGACTGGCATCAAAGAGTGCATGCATTGAAGAGTTGAGCACAAGGATCTACCTCTGTAATTGTACAGTTTGTTTCAATATGTGTGCAAGGGGCGGGACATTTGCACTCACTGTGTCTGACATCGATGGAATGGTCCCAAGACTCAAGAGAATATAAATCAAGTACATATACCTGTTCCACATATACAGGATTCGCGAGACCCATGACTTTGGTGACCGCCAGATGTATTGGTATTCTTTCCCGGAGGTGAGAAGGACATCATACACGAGCAGTGCTATTGATGACAGGTGAGCATTTTCCAGGGAGAACAGAAGGGGAGGGGACTTGAATATATGTACCTGCAATGACCATGCTGAGTGTGATAAGTGTTGTCCTACACAGCTGTACCATTATTCGAATCCGCAGAGAGTTTTATTGAAGTGTGAAGACTTACGCCTCCTGGACTTCAGCGACATACTGAGCAGTGACAGCTGAGCTTGATGAGGACATGACTGAAATGCCTGAGTTTCAAGATGATGAGTGAAAGCGCAGATAGGATCAAGAGCCAGGATTTGACTGGGGGGAGTGCTGCATTTGCAGGGCACCTTTAAGCAATGCTCATCCGGAAGGAACATGTTCCTACCGAGCCATTATTGATGTTGGTTGAGATAGTTCCGCATTCCATTGAGCTGTACCCTCAGTGTTGTGTGCATGTCTTCAGATTAGAACATTGGACGTGCTCAATCTTCAGCAACAAATCGGCACTCACGAAGATGTGCAGTGGGCGCACATTGTATTCTTATCCACAGATCGGGATGTGCATGCCCCGTATCTGGATACTATGATGAAAGCGACGCTGTCGCTTCGCGTCAAGAGACACCGGGCGTCGAGGCCATGTTGCAAACACACTCACCATAACTCCAACAAGATGAACATATCACGGCACATCGCCGAGCGCGTTGCCGGCGCCGAACTTGTTCGTTTCTGAGCCACGCAAGATGGCCGCGTATGCTTCGTGGCCCCGTGATGAAGAATTTCTCAAAGTTAACAACTCCGACGGATCCCCGAGGCTCCTGATGTAGACAATATGTAAGGATAGAACCCAGAACGGCGGCACGGTGAGCGACGCCGGTGCTGATGTATCGAGATATAGATATCATCCATCCAACATGCAGCTTCGCGAAGCTGCCTTCTACCGTTGCGCTGAGCTCGGAGGCGGTATTGCGGGGAGGCGACGGTGTTACCGAGGACGCAGTAGGACGATGTTGAGGTGGTCAGAGAGCTCCGGCATAATGTGCGTCGCTCGTGTGGATGTGACCGCGCCCGAGGAGATACAGCAGCTGCGGTGTATGCGGGCAAGCATACAAGGAGGCACGAAGGAGCTCCAGGACACAGACCTTCCAGCGGAGCATCCGGACGCGTGCATAGTCGGTGTGCTGCATGTAGCACCACTCGCGCCTAAAACCGTTGAGCCGAGCCCTTCCGATAATAGCTACGAGTGCAGGCATGCAGCGAACATCGCTAAAGATCGAGTTGTTTACAAGGTCGCACCTGTGCAGCGGGTCTCAAAGCGACGTACTGCATAACGGTAAATGTACTGATGAGTTCCCATCTCCACCAAGGTGACGACGGTTATGTACGGCCCAAGCTTCACGTACCTGTGCTTCCGCGATGGCCGCCAGGGGAGATGTCGAATCTCCGTCGCCTTGAGATCGCGTGCTCGCTCACTTTTCGATATCGCAGCTTGATATGTCCAACCCGACCCTTCTGCGAGCGGAGTGCACTACTGGGAAGCCACACACATCCTTCGCAGGTCGGTATTCCGGCCTTCCGCGGTGTGCTTCCTGTGTGGCACGCCCGTCGGGTTCGGATCGCTCTTCGCTGCTCGCCGAGATCCATAAATGCCGGTGCTCGTCGGAAACGTACTCTTCTGCGTGTGCAAGACATGAGTAGATTCGCGTATACTTTTTGGACGGTAAACGTACGCAATGATCTCGCAGTGTTGACTACGATCGAGCTAGTAGCTTCCGGCACGCGGCCACGGCTGGCTACTAAAGGTACTCAACGTTCTGCGGAGCCCCGCCCGATGCCTGTTTCAACGCGACGCTTCGAGACAGCAACAGACGTCGTGAAGATGCACTCATTCACCCGATCAACCACGGCGGGGCTTTTCATGGGCCGTTTGAAAGCTTTGGTGCGCGGAGTTCAGGACGCGGAAGACGCTGTCGTGCTCCGCAAGTGCGTAGAGAGGAGATCTTGGGGGATAATTCTCGTGGAAACGTTTCCCCTGGCCGTGGTGGGGAACGACAGACGAGATTCAGCGACGTGACGTCTGCTGGGAGGGTCGTTGAGGTCGCGGCGTTCTTCTCAGCGATGCAGGCACTTGGCAGCCTTCGCAGGTCCAGACGTCCGCCAGTCGAATAATTCCGGGTTCTGCGCAGGGCGTTCGAGCATTCAGAATGCATCAAGAATTCCAAGGGCTGAATATCAATAGGTACGCGCAGAGGTGGCGGGAGAGAGAGACGTCACGGTCGACGTGACGTCCTCGGTAGTCCAGAGCCGACTTTCCCACGGGTGCTCCGGAAAGTGCGGATTCTGGCTGCTCACTCCGCTCACCACCTCGCTCTCTTGCTCTCTCGGCTAGCTCTCGACTTAGTCCTTGCGTACACTCCCTACGCCTTTCCGCGCACTTTTCTCGACTCGTCCATGAGGCGCGACGACTGCTTTACGCCGCCTGCCAACGAGCGATCCGTCCACTCGCCTTGTGCTCGCTCTGCCGCATTGTGCCCCCTGCCTCTCTCTCATTCCCGCCACCGCGCTCTTCCTGCAACTGCGACTCATGTTCCTCGCTTTGTCTTTCTGCCCATTGGAGCTCTCAGAGGGCACTTTGTATGAGACATGTCCGCAAGGAGCACGAGGTACGCTACGCACGTCCATCGTCGTCCTCCGCGCCCGAGTACGCGCGTATGCACCCGATGCGCGCATCGTCCCCTTCCCATGCACGAATTGCTCTGTATCTCCTCTACTGTGCTCTGAATACACCCCTCAGAGCGCATCGCAGCTGTGATTTCCCCGCTGTGTCCGGTGTCGTTTACGGGTGCTTACTATCTATCACACTGCAGCACGGGCCTCAGCCCCACACACATCACTCAGAGGTCAACACCGTTTGCGGCGGCTAGATACTTGACGTCTCGACGTTTGCTCGCCATCCTCGACTCACCTGATCTCTTGCACTCGTCCACAACGTCCGACCAGCCGCCTCCGCTGCCGAGCTTTTACCAGTCCAGAAAGCACATTAGCGCAACACAAAGTTGTATTAAGCACACACATCTACGACGGCTCTGGGTACGATGCCGACATTTGTCTCTTGCTCACATACTCACTGTGCCCTTCTAGACACCAAATTCACCCAGCTACCGCCGCCAGCACCTTCGCCTCTCTAGCCGCCGACCATGTACACGCGTCCGCTGCACTCAGACGTCTTCGTCTCGGCAATCGACGTGCAGAATACCCGGAACAAGGTGAGCGTGTATCTCACACGCCGTACGCGCATGCATATGCAGTGCGAGACGACGAGGTCAACGAGGGCGGAGTGCAGCCGCGAGCGCACGTACGGCTATGCCACATTTTTTTCTCGTTGCGCTTCGTACTGCGTGCAGCGGTGATGGAGATCTACAGTACGGACGGGCGAACACCATCGAGGACGGCGATGCCGGCATATGCGCACATGACGGCGCGGAAAACAGCGAAAAGATGTGAGAGAAAACCGACGGGAGACATACTGGAGAGCTCACTTCGTCGTCGCGCAGCAATGAATACCGGTTTCATGCACTGATCAGTGCGTTTCAAGCGTCCACCCGCGGCTGGATGTGTACTCACGCGAGGCTGCGACTCGGAGCCCAGCGAGCACCCACCCTCACGCCTTCGATCCCTCGAATACACACTGCTTGGCCCGGTGAGATAGTCTCCCCCCCCGCCCCGTATTCAGCGTCAGCATCTCAGAATGCATCTACCAGCCTCTGAGATCAGATGAGGCGAAGAGATGGAGATCTGCGACGGCGGCGTGGTGAGCGAAGCAGGCGCTGATGCGTTGGAGATGCACTTGCTATCTATCAAATGTACGACTCCGTGAAGATGCCTTCCACCGCTGCACCGAGCTCGGAGGCGGCGTTGCGGTCCCGGGGAGATGTTAGGGTGCCTGGGGAGCTGAAATGTTGGAGTTGAGGTGAACAGAGGGCTCCGGACGTGCGCATGACTCGTGGGGGTGTTGCCCTGAGTCGCGGCGGCTACGGCTGACATTGATTGGCCAAGGAAAACCACGAAGGAGCCGCGAAAGACACGCGTTCCAGCAGTGCAGATGGACGCGGAGGTTGAGGTCTCTGAGGTACCGCGCATGGACTGAACTTCCGAGAACGCCGGCATGTCCACCGCCGCATCGCGTCGCCGAAGAGCAATCCTGTCGTGCAGTGGGCCGTAAGGCGGCGCGCGCACTGCACGACAAAAAACGCGCCAGTGGATTGAATCGATTATGAGGCGACTACTGTCTAGTACGCGAATACACCACGTACCTAGGTCTCCACCAAATGAAATATCCTAATCGCTCCGACATAGCGTGCTCGCCCGCAATCCCGAAATCCGGCTCGGTCGGGATGGTGAACCTGACCCTCTCGCAGGCGTCGCATTGGCGAGGCTGATCTCCAAATAGTGAAATCTGCATTTCGTGGGTCGATATCCTGAGTGTGCGTCGCTTCCTACCATGATGCGCCGCAGTATATTTCGATCAACATGCCAATCGTGCAATGAGGTTTCTGGATGATAGACGATCTAGGCGGCAGGCCCGCAGCGAGGTTCGGGCCAAGGCAGCGATTATTCCCTGCCCGAGGTCAGTATATGCCGGTGCTTTGTACGACGTTGAAAACTTACCAATCTACTCTTCTGTGTGGTCAAAGGCTCGCAACCATGAGTAAACTAGCTTCACGGATACCATTTAGACGATAAGCGTACACGGCATGACGGCGAGCCATAATGGCGGTGTGGGCTTGTAACCCCAGGGCCGACTATTTTGCACGCCATTCTGCGGATTCCGGTGGACATCCGGTCTTTGGGGAGCCCATAGAATTCTTCAGAATAACTCAAACCCGTAATGAGCTGCGATGAGGCCTAAAGATCGAGGGTTCAGATGGGCATCTAGACGACTCTATGCAGGCACTCTTACGGCGCGCAGCTCGCGAATGCACTCCCTGGATTCGTGGAAGGGAATCTTGGCGCATAATGCATTATAAAGCGGTCCTTGCGGGACCATATTGGGGAAGGATGTGTCGCCGCGTTCTTCTCATATCTTCTTTCAGCGACGTACTACAGTGCTCAGAGACGGTCGCGACGCCCTCAGGCTCTGGCCGGCGGCTTGTCAGCTAGTATAGCCCAGATGGTTCCAGAATATTTGTATTCATTTCAAGGAAGTTTCTGAGAGTAGCAGATGTTCAAAGAGCTGGATACGTACGCATAACTTGAAGGTAGCGGAAGAGGCAAGGCCGCAGAGCTCGAGGAGAGGTCATCGGCCGCGCGGAGCGCTCGGCCGGACTCATCCGCGGGCGCTCCGGGAAATGGACTGTGGTTGGTCTACGGGCGCTCGCCCACTCTCTCCGCTTCCTCCTCCGCTTCCTCTCCGTCTGCTTCTCCGTGCGCCATGCTCGACTTGCTCGATGTGTGCCTTCGCACTCTCGACTCTGTTCTCTTCCGCTGTTTCTAAATGACTCTGCAGGCTCCCAGTGAGCGGTTTGTCCATCCGTTTCGTGCTTGCCTTACCGGTTCCAAACACCTCGCGCCGTGCTGCCTCTCTTTCCCCCACCTGCGCAACCAGCCTGCGACTAAACACCGTGTGTCTTTCTCTGCCCATCCCCTTTTCAAGATTTATGTGCCAACTGTGCTTCAGAGGGGCACCAGGTCCATCACACGTCCGTCGTCGTTTTCTGCGCGAGTATACACGTATGCGCCCGGTCCGTGCATTCTCCCTTCCCTTCTGCCCCTCTTACGTCTTGAATACCCCTTACAGGCTTGGTTTTGGCTGGAAAAACTTCTGTATTGCTTCCCTTTCCGGCCGTCTTCTACCGCAACTCGGCATAGATTAAGGAGTGTACAATACGCGCACCCCCACCGCACGTCACCTAACAGGCTTGAGCACATCCGTTAATCTACAAGTACGCCGCTTCCTGCAGCCCACGTCCTCGCACGTCGATCAACCCACAACGAGTGCCCCTTCAACGTCTCGACGGTTCCACCCATCCTCAGTTGTTCATCCCCAAGAACATGCGCCGATTCGCCTCTGCGCTCCCCTCTTCACGGAACCAGTTCAGTAGAGGCTTCAACACGTTCACGCATACAGGTCTACAACGGCCTCAAGTACGCTACGGATTTCATTATCTCATCGTCATACTCACCTTCCCCTGCTAGACACACAATTAGCGCCCGCGCCCGTATATCCACCTCTTGGCTTAAACCCCTGCTATCTATCCTCCGACTTCTCCGCACCACAATCGACGTCTATGACACCACCAGGTGAGTGCTTTCGCACGACGGATACACTCGCGGCCAGCGCGGTGACCAGCGAGAGCTGAGTGCAGCAGCCCACGTGAGTAGCTCCGCATCTGCGTACGCGTCCTGCATCTTCACGATGAGGGACGCCTATGGCGGTGATGGCGAGCTACGGCGTATATATGCGTGCAGTGTCGTGGACGGAACTACACGCGTGCGCACACACGATGGTACAGGTGGGAGCAGAGAGGAGAGTCGAACTCACGGGAGGCGCCCTGGAGATCCTGTCCTGACGTCTCCCTGCAATGCATAGCCGTTCGACGCGCTAATCTGTGCTTCCAGCGGGCGGTCGGACATGCATGCACGCGACGCTCCGAGCGCAGCAGACGCAACATGCCGTAACGAAACCGACAATCCCACAGTCCAACCAACCTACGCCCGCGCTCGCGCCGTCGTTGAAATCACCACGCCGTCCGGGGTGATCGCAGACCCTCTGTGCGGTCATGCGGGATGCGACAGGTCCGTGCGACGCAGAGGGCGCACTGTCACTTATTGTAGCTGGGGCACCCGCCCGACCATCCGGGCGTGCCATGCTCGTGCCGTGCGCCGCGGCACTCACAGGACACTTCCCTTACCTGTATGCCGTTGTATCCTGTGGTGTGCCTTCGCGAGACCTGGGAAACAATTCTATAAGTTCGCTGGTGGCACGAGGCGCGGGACTGAAGGTACACCGCAAGCTCTCTCCTACGGTCCGTGTCCCTTTCCTGTGTTCGCGGACCCTCTTGGGGCGGCGCACTCCCTGGCGAAGATGCAGTGCTGCGTGCTTGAGCGTACATATATGCCTATGCAGAGTCTTCTCGCAAAGGCTTACTACCAGGTGGGCTTCTTCTATGCGGCAGCCGTTCGTGACGAGCGGGGTGTATCGATAACGATGGAGTCGACTGCGTGGTTTCTTTTTGGTCTTTACCTGCTAGTACGAGGTTATGGCGATTCGCGCCAAGTATGTGGGACTAGGTCAGGGTGTCTGAAGCGTCCAAGATACACGTAAGTTAAGTTAGCAATATAGGGGGACGGAGAGAGGGGTGCATTGCCCAAGGTACAAGACGTAACAACGCAAAACCTCTTCGTGATATGTCCGTAACCGCTGGACCAAGGTATATAGGGAGTGTATGTACCGTGCTATACGTAGGCATCTGCACGATAGACCACACCAAGATCCTGAGAAACTGTCCGCTGACCGGGTGTCTCGAAGAAAGCGAAGGGAAACGAAAGGATCACACCGGCGGATATTCTCCTCTACTACTCTCCACACTCTCTCCTTCGTGCTCGGTCTGGTGCTCGCCGTCCTGCCGCAGCGGTGGTGCGAATCCGAGTGATCCTAGGTCTCCGCCGCCGCCGCCGCCGTCGTCGTCATCGTGGGACGAGTGGATAGAGCCCCCGATAACGCCGAGGAATGCTGGGAGCTCAGGCGAGCCTGCCCGCGGGTGGTCGCATCTGCCGGTCCTGAGTGAGAGGGAGGACAAGGACGCATCTGCCGCCCCTTGGAGCTGCACACTTGTCTCGTGTAGAGCGAGCAGGAAGCGGCTGTTCAATATGGAGGAGATGCTATGGAGGAGGTCCGTTATGAGTGAAGATCTGCAGTAGCTATGAGTTGATATCAAAGGGAATATGAACTTACGGGTCGACGAAGGCCACAACGTAAGAAGATATATCACCCGGTGCTATGGCAATCTTTAAAACAGATGATTCAGGATCATGACATGTATAGCTGTCCAGGGACGCACCGAAAGTATGACCAGCACCATATCCACCACATTCAGAGAGACCAGAGTGCTGCATGTGAGCTCATCAGATTACAACTTGCTGTTGCCGTGATAGTGCTTCGTAGCCATTGATTGTGAACGAACCAGAAGTAAACCGTCCCTGCAGGGATTTGTAGATCAGCATATAACCCGGGCCTCATTAGAACATCCGAGTGTCGAGCCTACCATTTTTCCACATCACCTGTTCCAGGGAAGGCCGCTTCATGGTGCCTGTCCTCATCTGAATTGCTGCACGTGTTTGTGCCCAGGTGACGGCAGCAGCCAGCGAGTCCACGAGGATCAAAGAAGCCCTCGAGGCAATGACCACTGTTTGGGCAGATCCGAGTCAATAACTGTCTGTTCGCCAGGGACCATTGTACTCACATCTACCATACTGCTGAATGAGCCCAATGCACCTGAGTAAAGTCGAAGGAAGACTCGGATTCCCACCCAATAATAAGGCTCCTGCTTGCCGTGTCAATCAGAGTGCAGCCCAGCGGTGCGGGGAGATTGATGGGAGGGTTCTGGTATGCAGTGCTCTGTGGTTGTACCCAATCAGAAAGAGCATGGCGATATATATAACAGAGGGCTCACCGCATTGATGACGAAGGGTGCCATGCTCAGCACCAGAACTACCCCAACCAGAACCTTGTTCTGTCTTGAAAGTGCATATATCCGCAGCGTAGTGAACACTGGTGTGTCCCGTCAGCGGGTATGATGGTAGCGAGTAGCATACATACTCACTTGCAGGTCCAATCAAATTCAGAATCTGTAGGATATAGGTGAGCCAGATGAGCGAAGCACAGCTTACAGCAGGACCAACATCAGAGAGCACATTTGATGAACGTTTGGGAACAAGTATCTACCTCTGCAAATGTACTGTTAGTTTTAATCTGTGTATGAGTAGAAGAATCACACTCACTGCGTCCGACATCGATGGAATGGTTCCAACGTCCAGGATAGTAGCCAACAGGTACATGTACCTGTTCCACACATATAGTCCCCGCGAGAACCAGGACTTCGATGACCGCCAGATGTATCGGTATTCTTTCCCTGAGGTGAGAATGACATCGTACAGGAGCAACGCTGTCGGTCGCCGGTGAGCTGTCTCCGTTGGCGTACGCTGGGGCGAAAGACGAGGGAACTCGAAGATATATACCTGTGATTACAATGCAGACTGTGTCGTCTGTTGTTCTGTATGGTTGTGCCATTAGCGACATGCGCAAATATTTGTATCAAAGTGCACCGACTTACGCCTCTTGAGCTGTGGAGACCATTTTTGCAGCAACAGCAGAGCTCGGTGACGACATGACTTCGCAGTCCGAGTCCAAGGCGACGAGTCACAGCACGGGTGAATCAGTCGAGATTTGGTGGTTTGAGTCGGGGAGTGCTATCGTTTTCAGGGAGCTTTGAAGCGATGCTCATCTGGCAGGGACTCTATGTTCTCACCGTGGCATATAGCTTAAGATAGTTCCGCATGCTGTACCCTCAGTACTTCGTGCGTCAGATTGGAACTGTGCATGTTCTTCAAGTTGTTCATCAGCAACGAGTCAACACTCACGAAGTTGCGTAGTGCGTGCACGTCGTCTTCTTCTCCACTGGTCGAGATGTATACAGCCTTCTATCCGATGGATGCTGCGATGAAGGCCATGCTGTTGCTCCACGTCAATAAGCACCGTAAGGCTTCAGAGCGATGTTGTAAACACGCTAACCACTGCCGGAACAAGATGAACAAACCCAAACGCTTCGCCGAGCATACGGCCCGCGTTCAACTCGTGTTTTTCGATTGCCCGACTCAACCGTGCAAGATTTTGTGGCGCAGTTACGAGGTTCCTGATGCGTAGGGATAGGGACCTGGGACGGCGGCGTGGTGAGCAATCCAGGCGCTGAGGCATTTGGGAATGGACGTGTTATATACTAAATGTTATCTGGCTTCGTAAAACTTACTTACACAGCCGCGCTGAGCTGCGACACGGCATTGCGGGGAGGCGGTGGTGTGCCTGGGGACGCAGTAGTTCGGTGTTAAGTGGACAGCGAACTCCAGCCGTGCGCGTGATTGGTGCGAATGTAGCTCGGAGAGTTACGGTAACTGCAGCAGCTGTTAATCATCCTGGATGAGGATGTGTGGTGTAAACCGGAAGTCGAAGGCACTTCAAGGACATACGTAGCTACCGTTGCAGAATTACAAACGATGGACAATGTCCTGTATAGTCCCAGTGTCGTTAGTTGCACCGGCAACGATCTACATCGAAGTGCGCAGACTTGCGACCCATGATAGAGGTGATTACAAGAAGTCAAGCCGAGATAGTAGTGCTCGACGACGAGATGTTCTCGCAGTCCGACAGCATGGTGCTTCGTGGCGTAATTGGATCGAGAGTGGGAGTTTTGAATCGAAGAGCCAGGGTGGCAGTGTCCGCCCGTCGACGCGGCCGGAAGAAACGTTCATGCCACGCGCGGATTGTTCAACACCTTCCCGTCCATTGCACCCTGGAATAGTGTGGGCTGGTTGCGCGCATAAAAGTCAAATCAAAATACCTACAAGGACCACCGCGAGTATCTATCAGGCTGCGGGACGAGTCTACGACATGAATAGTCCGTTCGTAGCTACACGGCCGATCTGTACAGCATACATTCTACTCGTACCGCTAGGTATACATTCGCATTTGGTATTTAGTTTCTGGCCCCGTGCGTTTTGCGCTCGACAGAGCAGGATGCCGAGTGAGTAAGCGTCTACTCGACCTTCGTGCTCTCGATGTTCCAGTACTCCTGGGCGTAGTCCTGGATGGCGCGGTCGGAGCTGAACTTGCCCATCTGCAGCGGGCGGTTAGTAGGGATGCACAAAGGAGAGCGCGGGTGCTGCGAACCTTCGCGGTGGTCTTGATGCTCTTCTTGATCCACTCTGTGCGGTCCTGGTACGCCTCGTCGACGAGCTTCAGGGCCTGGATGTCTGCAGTCCGTCCACGTCAGTTAACAATGTTTTCATCTCTCGAACGTCAATTACTTACAAGAATCGAAGTCCTCCGTCAACAGGTAGTAGTCGTTCTGGCGGACGGTGTTGAGCAGCCTAACACGCCCATGCATATCAGCATCCCCAGTCGCCGTTGGGAATGATCAGAATACTTACGGCTCGTACGCGCCGCCGTCGCCGAAGCGGCCCGCGGACACCTCGTTGAGCACACGCGCGAGCGGCGGGCACTTCTGCTCGATGGGCACCGGGTGGTACAAGTGTTGGTAGCGCAGGTCCTCGACCGCGGGCGTCAAGTGGCCGAAGAAGACTGCACCCAAACTAATCAGCTTCTCTTTGTTACACCGACAAACGACAAGGGTACTCACAGACGTTGCTCTCGCCGACCTCCTCCGCGATCTCGATGTTCGCACCGTCGACGGTGCCGACGAGGAGGCCGCCGTTGAGGCAGAACTTCATGTTCGACGTGCCGGACGCCTCCGTTCCGGCGGTCGAGATGTGCTGGCTGATGTCGGAGGCCGGGATGAGGATCTCCGCGAGCGAGACGGAGTAGTCTGGCAGGAAGTAGAGGCTGAGCAGGTCCTTCGTCTCCGGGTCCTCGTTGATGATCCGGGCGACGTTGACGATCAGGCGGATGGTCTAGAGGGTGTTAGGATAGTAGACGTGATGCACTGGTCCTGGCATATACTCACAAGCTTCGCGATGTAGTCTAGGAAACAACGTGTGAGTCCCAACTCGACATTTGAATGCACGACGAAACTTACATCCGGGCGCGGCCTTGCCGGCGAAGAACACAACCTTCGGATTCACCTTCTTGCGCTCCTCCGGAGTCATGTCCTTGAGGGTCAAGTAGCGCTGCATGCCTACAATCAGCACGCATCTCTAATCGAATCGCTACCCAGCAGAACTTACGTGAATGACACCCATGATGTTGAGCGTTTGACGCTGTGCGTACACCTGCGTCAGCTCCAGCCGTAGCGGCCCACTCAATGGCTAGTACATACCTTGTACTCGTGCAGACGCTAAAGTCGCATCCATCATCAGCCTTCCAGAAAGAGCGGACAAGAGGAGGAGGGCGGCGTACCTTGATCTGGACATCGAACATGGCGTTCGTGTTGACTTTGAGGCCGAGCGTCGTCTCGACGTAGTGCGCGAGGCGCTGCTTGTTGCTCTGCTTCACCACCGCCCACTTCTTCTGGAACGCCGGGTTGTCGACGTGCTCGAGCAGACCCTATCCGCGTCACATCAGCATCATTCGACACCAGCTGAGGGAAGGATACATGCCTCGAGTTTGGTGAGGTCCTTCAGGAACGCCGCCTTGGGGATCTTGAGCGTCTCGCTAATGAGGTTGCTCAGGCCCGGGTTGCACTGTGAACGCGGGAGGTGAGGACGGAGGGTCAAAAGATCCGGCGTGTGTGCGCGTACCTGGTCCAGCCAGCGACGAGGCGTAACTGTGTAGTAACTAGGTCAACTGAAGAACCTTCATTCGCGCCTTATGATACGTACTGCCGTTGGTGACGTTCGAGAACCTACATCGACCAATGATCAGCATTGTGATATACAAGACATATTACGAGGACTCACTTGCTGACGCCGTAGAAGTCGACGAAGTCCTTCATGATGGTCGCACGCACGAGCTCACTGTGCAGCTAGCGACCACCGCTATCAGTTGACATGTCACACATCAAGAATCGATGACGAACCTCAGCGACACCGTTGACCTTCCTGCTGCCTGCAAGAACATAAGCTTCCAGTGCACTGACGTTTGGCACGATGACATCTAATACGTACCAATGCAAGCGAGGTTCGCCATGCGGACCTGCTGGGGCACGCCCTCTGTGGCATTGTCAGCATGATGATATAATACTGTGGAAAGTGGGCCGAGCGTACCCTCAATGAGCGACATGCGCGCGAGCCTCTCCCTGTCTCCAGGGAACTTGCGCTCCACGGCTGTAAATCGAATGAGTGCTGGGCTCTTCCCTGAGTAGAGGCTCGCGGTTACCTTGCAGGAAGATCCTGGGGGCATATGAAGGTCAAAATTGATTCTGTAGATCAAGTACGAAACACTTACAGGTTCTACAAGTCCACCGCGCCACGCGAACAAGGTGAGCGTCATGCTCTCGGAAATATGTAGAGCGTCACTTACGATGTCGAAGATGATCTGCATGTGCCTGTACATCCTGTCAGCGACCAATATACCCCAAACCGACACGATCCATAAAACTCACCTGGGAAGCAAATGGGTCATGAGCGGCACAGGCCACTTCTCCAGCGCTTCCTAGATACCCAAACGCACTCAGCTACGCGCATACATCGAGGTTGAATGAAGATACGTACGGGCAGGACCGTATGGTTCGTGAAGAAGAACGTGTTGGTGACGATATCCCAGGCCTGGTCCCAGGGGATGTCCTCCTCGTCGACGAGGATGCGCATCAGTTCGGGGACGGCGAGCGTCGGGTGGGTCTACAATATTCGTTAGTCCGATGAAGCAAAGGAAAGATACAACAATCTATAAGACACTCACATCGTTGAGCTGGATGGCAACGACTAAAAAATAAATGGTTAGACATGAATACGAGCCAGACGTGAGGGGTTATACTGACAGTCGGGGAACTCGGAGAGCGGCTTGCCCAGGTTCTTGAAGCGGCGCACGATATCCGCAAGAGATGCCGCCGTCCAGAAGTACTGCTGCTTGAGACGGAGCTCCTTACCAACTGTCCTTGATGTCAGATACGCATAGCACGAGAGTAGTGGGCGACATACACGTCGTGTGGTCGTTCGGGTACAGGACTGAGGTAATGGCCTCAGCGCTGTTGGAGGCCTCTACTGCGCGCTCGTAGTTTCCAGCTAAATCCCGACATCAGCGCCTTTCCCCAACGCACAGTTCCTATACTGAAACTCACCGTTGAAGCTCTGAAGGTCGAACCCGCGCTGGGGCTTACTCTCCCACAGACGCAGGTTGTTGGTGTTCTTCGTGTCGTAGCCCGGGATCATCGTGTCGTATGCCATCGCAATGACCTCCTGTCCGCCGCTCCAGATCGCTTTGCTCGCGTCGAGGCGCTCCGCGTGCCCATAGAAGCGGATTTGGTACGTCACATCGGTACGCGGGAGCTCCCATGGGTTGTCGTGCTCCAGCCAGGGGTCGGGCGCCTCGAGTTGGCTGCCGTCGGGCGCGATGAGCTGTTGGAATATGCCGTACTTGTAGCGGAGACCGTATCCCCATACGGGCAATTCCTGAGACGAAGAGGAGTCGAGGTAGCACGCGGCGAGGCGTCCGAGGCCACCGTTGCCCAACCCCGCGTCGCGCTCCTGGTCAAGCAAGTCCTCGAGGTTGAACCCGAGCTTATCGATCCCATCCTGGTACTTGTCCTTCAAACCGAGGTTAAGCAGCGCGTTGTCGAGCGTACGGCCCATAAGGAACTCGAGCGAGAGGTAGTACGCGCGCTTAGGCGCCTTGCGCGAGTAATGCAACTGCGTCTCGTTCCATTTAACCTATCGCCCAGAGTATGCTCAGACATGGCTTCGAGAGAACGAGAAGGAGACTTACGAGGAGGTTGTCGCGAACGGAGAGCGCGGACGCTTGGTACGCGCCCAGGTTGTCGAGGTTGTACGCTTGCCGGGCGAGAGAGGTGTGGACGTGGTGCACGACGGAGTTGGTGATGCTGGGTACCTCTGGAGAAGAAATGAGTTGAGTGCACGTTCAATATGTGACTGCATGCTTGAAAAAATGAAATGGTACTCGTGTCGGAAGGCCGACGCGACGAGACAAGAAGTTAGCTTCATCGTCGCGAGAGGTGTGCTCGCCCAGTCACACCGTGGCGAAACCCTACCCGACTACAAGTCGGACCCAAAATGAATCCGACCTGAGGTCCCGGTCAGAGCGTGAGGTCGTAGGGTAGGTCCTTGGTAGGACCTGTCATTAGCGAGACTACAGGAACATGGAGACCCCGCGAGTCTAATCAAGAGCATGGCTTTCGGCTTAGATCCCAACTCTGCTCAGTCTAGTCAAGGAGACAAGGTCCGACTAGCGTATGTCTGGCCCCCACCTAACGGACACAAAGTGGCTGCAGTCTACAACCTGAGTGTCGCTAGCCGATACGAAGCGCTCTGCACGAGGCTCCTGAACGCTGATGACGTCCTCGGCAAATCTGTACCAACGTCGCTTGCTCTTCCCTCTCATCTCTCATGCTCTGCGCGTTCCGCGTCCTCCACAATATCGAGACAGTACTCACCAGTGGTGAGAGCCGGGATCCCGTCCTTCCAAGCCTTCTCGTCGCCTACGGGCCACTTCTCCTTGCCAGTGACGGCGTCGGTCTCGGGGGTGTACCCTTGTCGTGAGGTGAGCATCGGGAATTCGTGCATAACGAGCGCACTTACCCGTCAACGTGCGCACATGCCGACGCTGCGAGGACTTGGCGTTCTTCGCGGGCTTGCCGATCGAGCTAGGATCGATGGTGGAAGTCATGGTGGGGATGGGAGTGACGACCGCGGACGAGGGCGGTGGTGGCTCGGATGGAGGCGGCGGGATATATAGGGAGGAGGTCTTATAGGACCGTCTGGGCCCCGCGCCGTGCGGGCGGACGAGGACGGCCGGGACAGGTGCGACCAGGTGCGACCCAGTTCGGTGACGCCATGCATTTCCATAACCAGACCGAGAGTCCGTCTCAGGCTAGAACGCAGCCGCCCCTGCTCATGTGCACCTCTTTCCCTCCCGCCACCACTGCGTGTACATGTCCATTGCTCCACCCATATTCAACCCTCTGTGAACACCTGCTGCTCTCAGAATGCTCGAAGGGCCTGCGCAGGGCTCGAAACCGCCCGCGTGATGCTCCCCTCGCAGCGTTTTGGGGCGTGATGGACTCTGATAAGCCGCCGGCCAGGGGGCGTCGCGAACGCCGCCGAGCACCTGCGTCGCTGAGAATAACGACGCGACCACATTCCGGATTCCTAACACGCGAACGTTCGAACTTCGGCCACCAGCAGAAGAAACGCTCTCGCCAAATACGGAGAACTCCCATCCATCGTTCGCGGCGGTGCGACTCGTGCAACCGGAGGGGTCCTTCTCCATTCACCGAACTCTTCCTCAATATGGCGCGACTTCTAGGTGTCTTGCGCGTGAGAATGCGCGCACAAAAGCTTCCAGATAAGCCATCCGAAGCCTCATCGCAGCTCATCGCCCCCTCTCCACAGCTCAACTTTACGTGAGGTGAGAAGGCCCGAGGACATGTGTGCAGGTCAACAGATCCTTGGGCGCTCTAGAGTGTTGCGTTAGAGCGGACGTTGGGCGAGCTCGGGGTAACCTTGCAAATTTACCGCCGCGCGGTGAAGGTTGTGCCTAGCATCTATCCCTAGTGCCGCAAGGTGAAGTTGGTACATCTCATTTGGACGCACACGCAGTACAAACCCGACGTCTCCCGTTTTCCAATTCGCTTTGTCGTGTAAGTTTTCTGTTCAAGATGCATGTCCAGCGCGAGTCTACTCAAATCGAGTACTTTGCAGACAAAGCAAAGTACGTCGCCTCTGGAGTCTTGCCTGACACCGGCATCTACGGACCTCAAGCAGCGAAGAACCACCCATACCACGGTCCTCTAGATGCGAAGAACCATCCGAACCCCGCGGGTCCGCCACGCAGATCCCGTCCTATCTAGGATCCTCGCCCTCTGAATAGCAACATCCCTAAACATACCATTGCTCATCAGGGCAGGAAGCATGCGCACCATCGGGACACCGACCCGCGAAGCTCGAATTTGACTTTCGCACTGATCTGCCCCGCCCGTATATGGCCTGCGCGACTGCACAGGTCCGACAAACCGAGCCGGAATTCTGGACTGTGGGGGGACACGCTATGTCGGGACGATCGAGGTGCGATATTTCCCCTGGCGATGGGAGAAGACCGGGGATGTGAAGCGACTGAAGTCTCCGCTGTACAGGACCGTGATCGCCCCAGCGGTGTTCAGCCGTACAGTACGCTACCATACGACCCGCTGCAATACAGCTTCGCAGTCCCGGCCTGTGCTCATGACTCAATTTTTACTGATACGTCCGCATAGCCGCGATTTGTAGGTACGGTGTATAACAGCGTTCAACTCAGCGGTCAGATAAGCTGACTTACGAGATTGCTTTAGCATGAGGAAAATGATATGTGATACACTAGCGTTCGACGCCAGCGTCCTGTTCAACACTCTTGAAGGCAAGCTCACTGCTTGAGCGGATCGCTCTGCTACTTGTCCGCGTCATCTCCCACCCAGGCTCCGGGTCCGGGTCGGAGTTCCGACGGGCCCACCCCGCGCAAACCTACTACCGCTGTCCTTGGGTTCACCGCCACCACTCCTCAAGGCTGCGAAGCTTAAGATTGGACGGTGCGTGCGTCTCAAACGCGTCAGTACCTCTGTCGCTCACTGCGCCGCCGTTCTTACATTCGGAGGCCTCCGGAGGCTGGCAAATGCGTGGTGATATGCCGAGCCTGAGATCAGAGATACGTCGGGTACACTGGCTGCGGTACATAGCACGGGGATACAAACAGAGGTGTTGACCGCAGGTGGCGCGCTTCGCGAAGGGTTATACTATTATCGTACACTGGTGGGTGGGGTTTTGACGTGTCCTTGACGCCCCGGTGCTCATTAATGCGGGGCGGCAAGTGCCTTCGGCGTAGTATCGAGGTCCGAGTCATCTTAATTCATGGATGTGATTAGGCATATGCCGGTGTGCTCGCGGGTGGCAGTGCGCGGTCACGGCGACGCGGGACAGACGAGCCGATGTGGGGTTCGGGCGGATGCGGATCTCGGGAGGGGGGAGGATGTACGGCCAGGACACGATTGAGGGACTCTGTGTCTGTGGTGGCTACTGGGGGGTAGTAGACTCTGTGGGGGGTACGAGTAGGCGCCGCACTTGTGGGGAGAACTCGGGAGACGGGACAGAGCGGATGACGAGGAGAGGGTCTCCATTTCGCACTCTGGGCTGGACAGAGCGCACCGCAAACGTGTATTACGGACTGCTAGCACTAAGGACATATCTACCGCACAGCGCGCGTGCAGGACGACCGCAGGACAGCCGTCCAGAGCACTTTGCACACTCAGCCGCATGTGGGCGCCTATTTCGACCCAGCTGCCAAGTCTCGCTGTTGTGCGCTCTGCAACGGTGGCCTTCCCTCCTCGCGCGCGCGTGCGTGCCGGCGTGGCCGCTCTCTGCCAGATATTCCACTCCACTGTCTGCCGGTCGGGATGTTAGATGGGGATTTAAGCTGCAGGAGAGGAGGAGAGGGTGCATACGGTCTCCGCGTGCGTGATGTTCGCGGTGTAGTACGTTCGCACGTCCGGATAATGAGACCCTACCGGATGCTTCACGGACTGGCTGCGGGAGCGTTGTCGCGGCGAGATTATAAGCGGTGCACTTTTGAGTGCTTCTGAGTCGAGCCGTCCGCTGCGTGCGGAATGTCGCTGGAGTCGGTCAGCGCAGCCATAGCGCGGACTCTGCCCACAGTCAGCGCGTCGCGTACAGCGCAGCCGCCTCCGACGAGTCTCGTGCAACGCCAGTGGGACGTCCGAAATGCTGCATAGATACTGTCAGTGATCTGGGAGCACTGAACGGCTATACCACCTACCTGCCAGTATGTGAAACGATTCGCAGCTGTTAAAAATGCATGCACACCGCGTCGGTGGACGCGTCCGGAAGAGCACGGACACTCCGCGCACTTGGATGGATGCGGGCGCCCATCCCGACAGGAGGAGAAACTGCCAAGTCTCTAAGTCGCCCACCACCGCCGCAGTGATCTCTGCCATGATCGCCGCCGGACCTCACCCGCTCGCTCCTGCTCTGGCGGCCATTCTCTGCACATTAGTCAGCTCCGATGTCTACAAGCAGGGAAGTCAGCCGTGAGTTGTAGGACTCGAGCGGATGGTACTGACCATTTCCGCGCGACACCTCCGCAGGCCCGCGGTGTTCCGTCCCGCAGTTGTTGCTTCGTGCACCAAGATGATGGAGCCATACCGAACACTTCGTGTCGTGGTCGCAGGAGAGTCACCCCTGCCTGCCAGAGCGAAGATGTGGGCAGTGCACTTGCGAGCGCAATATTGGACCCGTCCGCCGCATACTGCCGGAAGTCGATCGCGTGGGTCGTCGCGACCCTGCCGCCGCAAAGCTACCTGCAAGCTCGGAATGTCGACACTCAGCGCATTATGTACAGCTCGACTTCTTAAGATGACTCCCGTGCAATGGCGAACAGACGCCCGAAACGCGAAGTCGGGGATGGATGTCGCCACCGCAGACACTGCATGGTTGCTCGTCATATGTGAGCACTGCCAGACGACTGAGCTGCTAACCTGCGAGTCTAGGTGGCAAGTTGGATGTTTGTGCCAAGTATCCTCCTCCTCATAGGCCTCGGCGACAAGGAAAGCCTGCCTGGACACCTTTGCAGGACCATGGATGGCCCTCATTGGGTGCGGAAGACTGTGAGACCCGCCGCGCACTCGGATGGACGCGGGCGCCTATTCCGACAGGAGTCGAACCTGCAAAGGGCCTGCGTTGTCGCCGGTCGCCTTCTGCCACTCCTGCGCGTCCTGGCTCTACGGAGTCCTCGCTGCGTCTCCACGCTCTCCCGGTGCATTTCTGCCCGCCAAACTGTCTTCTGCATGCCAGCAACAGTCATCAGTTGGAATCCCAAACCTGCAGGAGAAAGACACGGTACGTACAACCTCTACGATGCCCTGATAGCTGTGTTTCCATCATGCGTGAACACATGCGCGCATTTGCTACGCGGCAGCGGAGAAAGAACAGCTCGGCGAGTGTGGGCGCCTATCCCGCCGACCTGCGAACCGTCCAAGTCTTGCACAGTGGGTCTCTTTGGTTCCGCCACCTCTCTCACATCTCGCATGGTTGCCGTTCGCCCCCGGTGGCCGCAGAACGCGCCCGGAACATCCAAATCTGCTATCTGCAACATTAGGAAATGAAGTATAGGCCCCGGAAAGAATGGCTCAAGCACGTACTTGCACATGTCCGCTCCGAAGTGGCGGACATGGTCTTCGACTTTGCGTGATCGCAGTGATGTTCGCTTGGGGCGTGGAACATCTCTGAGCGCACTCTGTGCTCATCGGCGCCGTGCTGCACAGGCATGGTGAGGCATGCTCACGAGAGTGAAGACGAGCACGCACGGTCTGTCAGATCGAAAGATAAGTGTTTGTGTCTGTGCGAGAAAGGGTAAATACGTACCAATGCTCGTCTACTTCACAAATAGGCCCGCAACACGTTCCGAGGACGCTGGCGCTTAGATACAGACGGCTCGGAAGTTCGACGTGCTCAAGTCGTGACTTCCCGGCACCGTACATGCCCTGCAAGCGTTTACTATGGTGCTCTCGCGGATACTACTCTTCAGCAGCTTGAAGTTGGTATGCCTGTGGACTCTGCTATCAGCTAATTCAGCCGGTGAGGAATGCACATGACAAACGCAGTACGTATCGTGATTTGAGCTCGATCGCAAACACTGGAGCTATGTGCAGGTGCGCTGCACTCACCACACATACTCCCAGCTGCGAGCCCGCTAGATCGAGGCCTTTGCGAAGTAGCCATCACCAGCAAGAGTAAGCGGCTACTTGATGCCACCCTAGCGTATAAGACGCTCCAGGGAGGTGTGCAGGTGTTGCGTGAGTGTGCTTATTGACTCTAGATATCCAGTGGGGCGAATGAAGAAGGAGAACGTGCAAGCAGCGCGAGGCGACCCAAAGCGCGAGTTGGAATGAGACAAGGAAGCTTTAAGGCGCCTAATACAACCCTGCTTACCATTTCGAGAGCCGCGCCGCGCCCTGCTGCGCCCGCCACTTTGCCCACTCCCACCACTGCAACCAACTGTCCTCCCGTCTCTGCTCTTGCATGCCAGCCTCGAACGTGAGCCCCTAAACAGGACGAAAGTTAGTATGAGTGCGCGAATATGTGCAAAGAATGAAACATAGGTACGTACCAAACCTTCCGCGCTTGGCACCGTTTTGTACTGGAATGTGGGTCTGGAGCGCGCGCGCGTGTCCGTGGCCCGCGGGTTGCATTTCCGGAGTGCCCACCACACCCCAAGTCCCGCAAGAGCCGACACCTTGCCATGAGTATCCACTGTGTTCGCCGACTGGAGCCCGCGAGATACGGTGGAATCATGAACGCACGTGAGACTCGGAGACTGTATGGGTGACCGGGGAGAGCGCGGGCTGAATACTTGTCCTCAGATATCTTGGCACTTGCGCGCGCACGTACCACACCATCATTGTCGTTCCGAGGCTGCAAGCGCGAGCGTCGGCACGGGTTCACTGGTGCCTTCTAGGTGGTGCCATCGGCGTGCACTGTTGCAGACACAATAAATATGGCAGGTAAGCAACTCAACACTCGGTATCGTGCAGCTTGGATGAGGTACTCACTGTCCTTCCATTGCAGATGCTCTGGCTCATGGATGTGCATCGCAATGTCGCGCGAAACCGGCCCACGCCCATCCGAGCACCCAAACTTCTCGGTCTAGCCCGCACGGGCATCACCCGCCAAGGTACGCTGCCCTCCCTTCCGCTCCCTCGGTCTGCATCTGCAAGGAGAGAGCACAAACCCAGTGCCGAACACTCTGTCCCGGGAGGCCTCTAAGAGGCATGTCTCCCGTGATGAATGTCCGAGCTGGTCAGTTGGTGTCAGCGGGTGACCACGAGAGCACGCACTGGTACTGTACATACCTCTCCTCGGTAGCGACCAGAGCGGCCGCTAGGCAGAGGCGCGAGGCTGTAGACGCTGTGCGGCATTGACGGTGATGTTCACCAATGTGCTCGACTCAGAGCTGGTCAAGGAGGGTAGGTGCATGGGATTGAGAGGGAGGAGGGGCGTGCAGGCATTGACGATTGGCAGGGCAGAGGGGGAGAGGGTGAGGATGGGGCGGGCAGAGAAAGGGTACAGGGACATGTCCGCCTGGCGCCATGAGCATCCCGATGACCCTGAGCACATGTGGTTGGCATGGGACGGCAGATGTGCTGCGCTGCTGCTGTGCCGCGTGCGGGTGCGCCGGTGCCACGGAGGATTATGGCAAGCGGTTGCTGCCCGCCCACGGCGTCTGCATCAAAATCTTCCATATCCACGAATTACGGTAGCAGCCCCCCTTTGCTTGTACTGTATTTTAGCTTCTTTTCATATGTCCGACCAATCAAAGCACTCATTTGTGGCTGCGGTATGATCGGACATGCCTCAGAATGCTTTACACTGCTCAGGGCTCTCTGATATACTTCTGCTTACTGTAATACCGCTCTTGGATACACCTTCAGAATTCAAGAAATTACACTACACACATCTCCGGATGTTCAGGCGACCATCTTCTCAGGGTCCTCACCTCCCCGCCCGTCACCAGAACTGGAGGGGACCAGGAATAATACTGTGTGCAGCATACTGCTCCCCACACTATTAATCCTGACCTCTTCACTTCTGTTATCCTAAACATTTTCCTGGGTGTGTATAATACTGGTGGGCTGAGATGTGTAATGTATTATGGGCAAAACAAGAGCGGCCGGAGGACCAGCGAAGGTTTACGCTTATTGGTTGTGTCCAGATCTGAGATGTGGAAGCCGCCGGTGCTCTCGCTTGACCCTGAGTCGAGATCTGGGAGCCCTACGCCACTCGCGCGCATGCCGTACATGTCTACTGAACACTGCGCGAAGTTCCGGCCCAGTCGTCATGGTCGTTGTGGTCGCAGAAGCCAAGGTGTGAGCGCGAGACCAAGCTTGGCATACGAGAGAGAGACCTGCCTTTTACGGTAAGAAGGTTCGACCCGCGGGCCACGCTCAGCGCTTTGCGATGCACTCGCAGAGCCCCTTCACGCTTTACCCACCACTGGTAATTCCACCAGCCCGTTCTACCAAGTAGTCGTACTTGCCTTGCGCCTCGCATACTAGTTTCAAGTTTGTGGAGCAATCCTGGTCTATACAGTGTCCTTCACTCGATACCGCACCTTGAACGGTGTTGAATCCCCTTGCGACGAAAGCTTTGCTGTCCGGTGCTGCAGCACCATGAACTTCAATGCACGCGGCAGGTCCGGCGGTCCGGCGTCGGATGGCACAATATCATCAGCTGTGTTTGTTTCTCTCAGCACGCCATCACGAGGACAATGTCTTCGATCGACTCCGAGTCAACGCTGGCGCCGGACTTTGTGAGACAAGTTTGGCCACCGCGGGGGCACGTCAATGCGACTGGAAAAATGAGACACGGAGCGCCATTTCCGTGCGGGCGGCACATATTTCGCTGCACACATGCCCCAGGCCACGCTGGTTGCTGACGAGCGTCTTGTACCACGTACGCGTGCGCACACACAAGCTACAGGAGGTAGTAGCGCGATGGGCGGGGCTCGATGAGAAGCTCGGGATAGATATGGGCGAGTGCGTGCTAGCCGGTGAATATTATATCATTGTAGAGCTCCCTCGGCCATGCCATCCGCGGCTGCGATTGCACGCAGTGCATTGTCGACTACACTTCGCAACATATTGCGAGCGTTGCACATATACAGTACGAGGCCGGACAAGATATATTTCATGACTGTATACAAGGTCTGATATGTCATACACACCCAAAGACGACGACGAGAGCGGCATCCGTCAAGTGGGGGCAGGGCGCGGGCACCCACCGTCGTTGCTCCCGCACCCCGCTGACCCCCACGAGATGTGCACGCCGACGGTGTACCTAGCCCGAGGCGACGGTGCTCGCAGACCCTCGAAACGGGCGCAGTCCGTGGCATCTCGCGTACCGAGCGCCGGCCGTCCGAGGCGAGCGTGTCCAGAATCTGCGAATCGAGACGCGAGACTCGACGCTGAAACGCACCGCGCCGCGTGACTGCACACCGCCCTCCCGCGGTACGTCCGCCCGCATCCTCTCCCGCTCGCCCCGTCTCCCTCGGCTGAGCGTGTCGCGTCCTGGTTGGTGCGCCGCCCGGCGCGCTCAGTGGGTCGCCCCGGCCCTCTCGTAAGATCGTTGCCTTGGCACGGCAGGCAGCCGTCTCCGCACAACGGGCTCGGGCTGGGCTCGAGTGCGCGGTCGCCGCACGGACCATGGTACGACGGGAACGGAGGACGGCCCTAAAGCACGCGGGGATAAGTACGGGCACGATGAGGACGCGGGCGTGCTCACCCTCTTCCCTCTCTTCCGCACCTGCTAGCAGCGTAGCAGCGATGTTGCTCCCCCCCTCTCCTCTTCTTGTCGTCGTCCACTCCCGCTCCGTCGCTCCGCCGACTACAAGAGCGCCGTTCGCCCCCATAGAACCTCAATCTGCGCGCAGGCGGTACGTCAGCGGCTCCCGTTCGTCCGTGGTTGAACACTTATTCTCCATTCTCCTGTTCCAGCTATGCAAGACGGGCGAGCGCGCACGTCCAGGCCACAAGGCGCACATGTGCGAAGAGACTCCGGGCGTGGGTGCGAGCATGGAGCAGGGCTTCCGGGTCGGGCGCGGGCTCTCTGGTCGTCGCTCCGGGATCCGGTACGTGCCCCCTCGCAGCGATTACATGTGCTGATGTGCTGGATAGCGCGGCCCAGGTGCGCACACTGGGACGCCATAGATGCGCCTCGCTGGCGCATGACGCTGCTCGCCGGCGGCCGATCCCTGTGGGGTCGTGTTCTCGTCGAGCATCGTGCTGACGGCTTCAAATGCAGCTCTGGCGCTTGAGCCAGCCGCCTTGACTGCTACGCGCTGCGGTAAGTCCATGCAAAGTCGGCATAGGAGAGCACACCTGTCATGCCTTCTTCAGCGTCGCTGGCGGGCGTTGGGACGCACGCGCGTTGGTGTCTGTGGTGCTGCCCTGTGCGGCGAGTCAGTCTGGTAGCTCGTCCGGGTGTACATCGCATATCTCACCTAGCCAGGATGCCCTCACGCAAGACGGCGGCCGTGGGCATTGCGAACCGCCTCGACAGTCGTCTGGCGCGTCATGCACGTTGCTGCAAACTCAGACGGTAAGCGGATTCCTCGCGCGCGCATGTCGAGTCGTCGAACTCACCACTCTACCTCCTCCCCCATAGCTTCGACACGCCGCCTGCGACGACGACACGGGAGCGAGGGCGAGCACGGCACAGCGGCGTACGAGGGGCGTGCGGTACGAGGGGTGGTAGCATAGCATTCTGTTCGTACATAGTCGCGGCAGCACGCGCTACGCGCTACGGTACGGTACGCGCTGCCAGGGCCACTCTGTCCGCCGCCAGCGCCCCGCGGTTCTTGCTGGGTGCAAGAGCAGCGCCCGCGCGTCCGGCGCGATCACGGTGAGCGCGGTTCCGTCCACGCCCCGGGACACGGCGATACACTCATCTGAACTTGTTCCTTCAGCGTGCACCCGCGCTCTCCGCGTCCACGGCCCCCACGCGGTCGCGTCGAGTTCCATGCCATCGAAGGTGAGTTCGCACAATCTAGCGCGCGCGTGCGAGGCGGCTGACCCTTGCATCTCCAGCGCGAACGGCCAACGGCCGCCGGGAGACAGCACGGGCCGCGGGCGCGGTGGAGGGGCTGCGCCGTGCGCCCGGCACTGGGAAGGGGGGGAGGCGGGGAGGCGGGCGACGTCGGTAGAACAGTAGAGTGTCGTACGTAGACAGCGCTTTGGGGCGGGGGGACGCCGCGCGCATCGCGCATCGCGCCATGTCCGTGCATAGGCGTGCGTACGCCGTCTCCCGCTCACCGTGCAAGATCGTCCCTCGGCCCCAGGCTGCGGGCTGCATCGATTCGCTGCGGGGCCCCGTGCTCGACACGCGCTCCCGCGGCGCGGAGGCCCGCCCTCTCGACCCCGCCGCGACGCCCAGCCCCGGAATGCGCCCAGGAAGGGCCCGCGAGACCGGCCCACGCCCCTCGCGCGCAACGACAAGCCGAGTGCGCCGCACGTCGCGTCCGCCCCCCAAGCGGCCGAAATCCCCGCGAGGTCGTCCAGACACAAAGTCCGCGGACGCCTCTGAAAACGCACGGGCCGGCGCAGGACGTGCCCACGGCCGGGCCTGCAAGGCGGTGTGGCGCTGGGGGGCGGGACGCGGGCGAGGCGGGCGCGGGACGACCGGGTTCGCGCGGGCGCCCATGAAATCGGCCGCGGAGAGGCGGATTTTTTGTGCGCCGATCGCGGCGCAGCTTGGTGTGCGCGTGCATCCAGGTGAGTGGTGTCGTCTGTCGCGCTTTGGGGGCCTCACGATGCGTCGTCAGGGTGCGAGGTCGACGAGATGGCCGGGGGCTGGGGTGCACGCGGACGCCTGGGGCGAGCGGGGCGGCACGCGGTCGGGGTGAGCGGTGGCGCGGGTAGAGGGGATGTATGGGAGTGTGTGTACCGAGTTTCATCGCTGTAGGACGCGGGACGGGTGCGGGGCGGCGGTGGGATGGCCGAGTGTGGGCTGGGGCCTGTGAAAGGGGTCGAATATGACGGGATTTACGAGTTCCTCGGATCGCGCGGAAACGGCGTGGGTGTATGCGCAGAGGTTCGTATGTGCCTCGAGGCTCGCGTTGGGGTGGTCCGGGGGCGCCATCGGAGCGCGAGGGTGCGTTGTGTCTGGGACTTGCCCGTGGGGACAGCGTGGCGTGCCCGCGGCTGGCGTCGTCGTACGGCTCTGGGATCGATGTCGATGGTCAATGTGGGCCCTACGAGCCTACCTGTGGAGGTACCGGCCGAGGCGATGGGTGTAGCGCGTGCGGGTGGCATTTCTGCGCGCGGCAGGGCTGAAAATCCGACACTGTCAGCGCAGTTCGCGTGGGTGCGGGCTCAAAACGCACCAGACGACGGAGCATATAGTCGTGCGTCGATCCGTCGCAAAATTGCGCGCGCAGGTGCTCGGCACGTCGCTCAGTCACTGCTGGAGCATCGTGGGAGGTCGCGGTCTCGTGGGCGGGATTCTGGGTCCAGGACGTGTGCGGCGCTGTTGCGGGTGCGCAGGCGTCGGTGTGCGAGCCCGGACAACGTGCGGATATCGTTCTTGTAGCGGGCATCGACGTGGGCGGGCGGCGCGAAGCATCCACAGGCGGCGCATATGAGGCGCCTCTCCTGGTACTGCGGACGCAGATGGAGTCGGGACGGCGTATGCGCTCGTCATATTCGCGATTGAAGCGCTGTGCACGATGCCCGATGAGTCTCGCACACGCCGGTGACGCCATGAAGGAGATGGGACGGTAGTGGGCGTCGTTTGAGGCAGTGTAGACCGAATTGCGGGCGCAGTATGAACGCGGCCGGCTTGCGTTTTCGCAGGGGGCATGTAGCACAACTGGCGAGTGTCTGGTAAGAATCGTGGGCGAGGACGAGCAGTTTGAAATCGTTACGGCGTATCAAATCGAAGCTGACCGTTCGCGTGGCTGAGTTGCAGCGCAGAGAACGGCCGGATAAGATCTGGGAAGCGTATGCGGATAATACTACGAGATGCACATGGTTGACAGCGCGGGAGCGAGCGAGCGAGGGCAGGAAAGAAGGAGGGCGGGGTAGCAGGAGGGTTAGAGCCGCAGACAGCAGCGCAGAACAGGCATGGACGACTCGGAGGACGAGCGGACGCGGATTGGCACCAGCCCGGGCGTGGTCAGAGCAAGCGAGCGAGAGGTCAGAGCAAGCAGTGAGAGTGAGGAAAGGCGCGTTCGCAGGCCGAGTAGCGCCCACTTGGCCGCGATGACGTCACGCGTTCGCCCGCGCGGCCCTCGTCCACAGCGCAAGTCCATGCCCTGCCCACGTCTTATACGACCGTCTGCGCCCCGCGCGGTGCGGACGGGGACGGGTGCGACCCAGAGGGCGGGCGAGGTGACGCCATGCATGTCCGGATCGAGGGTCCGCCCAGGCTAGAACACCCAGGGCTCATGTGCTCCGCTTCCTCTCCCGCCACCTCTGCGCATACATGTCCATTGCTCCACCCATATTCAACCCTGTGAACACCTGCTGTCCTCAGAATGCTCGAAGGCCCAGCGCATAGCTCGAAACTGTCCGCGTGATGCTCCCCTTGCGGCATTTTGGGGCGTGATGGACCCTGATAAGCCGCCGGCCAGGGGGCGTCGCGAACACCACCGAGCACCTGCGTCGCTGAGAATAACAACGCGACCACATCCCAGCACGCGAACGTTCAAACCTCGGCCTCCAGCAGAAGAAATGTCTTCGCCAAATGCGGAGAACTCCCATGGACGGGCCCTTCTCCATTCACTAGACTCTTCCTGACTATGGCGCGACTTCTGGGACGCTTCGCCAAGCTCGCATCTACACGAAAACGGAGAGCGCATCCGTGTCTTGCGCGTGAGAGTGCGCGCACAAAAGCTTCCAGATAAGCCATCCGAAGCCTCATCGCAGCTCATCGCCCCCTCTCCACAGCTCAACTTTACGTGAGGTGAGAAGGCCCGAGGGCATGTGTGCAGGTCAACGGGTCCTTGGGCGCTCTGGAGTGTTGCGGTAGAGCGGACGATGGGCGAGCTCGGGGTAACCTTGCAAATTTACCGCCGCCCGTGGAAGCACCTATCCCTGGTGCCGCAAGCTAGAGCTGGTCCATCTCATTTGGAGTACACACAGCACAAATCGACGTCTCCCGCATGCCAACTCGCTTTGTCGCGTAAGATTCCTCTTCAAGATGTATATCCAGCGCGAGTCTACTCAATTCGTATCTTTGCAGACACAGCAAAGTACGTCGCCTCTGGAGTCTTGCCTGGCACCGGAATCTACGGACCTCAAGCAGCGAAGAACCACCTGTACTACGGTCCTCTAGATGCGAAGAACCGCCCGAACTTCGCGGGCCCGCCACGCAGATCCTCTACTATCTAGGATCCTCGCCCTCTGAATAGCAACATATCTTAACATACAGTCGTCCATCAGGGCAGGAAGATCGGGATACCGACCCGCGAAGCGCGAATTTGACTTTCACGCCGATCTGCCCCGCCCATATATGGTCTGCCCGAGGCAACAGGTCCGACACACCGAGCCGGAATTCTGGACTGCGGGCGGACACGCTATGTCGGAACGATCGAGGTGCGATATTTCCCCTGGCGATGGGAAGTCTCCACTGTACAGGACCGTGATCGCCCCAGCGGGGGGCCAAACGCGCCGGTACATTTTCAGTCGTACAGTACGCTACCGTACGACCCGCTGCAATATAACCTGGCAAGCCGCGCCTGAGTTTATGAGTCGTTCTTTTGCGATGCGCTCAGCATAGCCGTAACCTGCACTGGCAGGCCCTGTTCAACATGGCCATCAAATCAGTGGTTCGGACACGCTCACTCCTATAGATACTTTGGCGTAAAAGAGATTATGCGGTACGCCCACCTCTTCGCGAAGTTTTAAGACTTTCAAAGGCAGACTTACTGCTTTGAGCGGATCGCTCTAGCTCGTCCGCGTCCGAGTCATCCCCCACCCAGGCTCCGTGCTCCTGCCGGAACTTCGGCGACTCCAGTCCCGCGCAAACCGACTACCGCTGTCCTTGGGTTCACCGCCACCTCTCCGCAAGGCTGCGAAGTTTAAGATTTGGCAGTGCGTGCGTCTCAAACGAGTCAGCACCTGCTTCGCTCAACACGCCACCATTCATATGTGTGGAGGCCTCCGGAGGCTGGCAGATGCATCGTAATATGCCGATTCTCAGATCACAGATATGTTGGGTACAGTGGCCATGATGCGAAGCACGAGGATACCAATGGAGGCGATGACCGCTGGCGGAGCGCTCTGCGAAGGGTTAAACTATGATCGTGTTGTAGACGCACCGGGGTCCGGTGAGTGCGTTCTCAACGTAACCTTGACGCCCCGGTGCTCATTAATGCGGGGCGGCAAGTGCCTTCGGCGTAGCATCGAAGTCGGAATTCATAACCATCTTGATCTGTGGACGTGATTAGGCGTAGTATGCCGTTTACAAGCACTGCGCACTTACGCGAGCGGAGACCGACAGCCTGGCGTTGTTGGCGACGCGCGTGCAATACTGAGGGTGCAGCTCGTTGGGGTGCCGAGTCATCCTTGGAAGCGTTAATGAGCCCCAGTACGAAGATGTGCGCGCTGCATGAGTATCGCTTAAAGGCGACCCTCCAAGTGATAGGGCTTTTCGACTCAAATCCCTTGCTCTCGATCTATCCTCACTACAACTCGTCATCCTAAACTCGAACTGCGGGAATATGTCGTCGTCGAGCACTACTGTCGCGGCTCAGATAGTCGCCGCATATCAGGGGTCGTAAGTCTGCACACTTCGATCATCATTGCAGGTGCGACTGACAGCACCACCGCGCAGGATATCGTCGATCGGTTCCAACATTGCGATGGTGGGTATGTACGTCTTCGAAGCGCCTTCTTATTCGAAAGATGCGGTGGCTCACCTATGATTAACAGTGCTGCTCCTGTACGATGTTCTTCTTACCTCGGGGCAAGAATATCGATATATCTGGCGAACGCCGAAGACCTGGGTCTCGCGACTCCTCTATATGTGGAACAGGTACACGATTCTGCTATTTTGCATCCTGAACCTTGGGATCAGTCCATCCATGTCGAATACCGTGAGTGTCAACTACCTGCTCTTTATGCACAAGTAGAAATGAACCCTACGTCCACAGAGGTAGACGCTTGTTCTCGAGCCTTTATCGCCTGTACTCTCTGATGTCGGGGCCATTGGAAGTTGTGCTTCATTCGGCTGGCTCATCAATGTCCTAGGGATCCTAAATATGATCGGACCGGCAGGTGAGTATGTACGTCGTTCGCCCCAACTAACCCGCTGACGAAATATACTAGCATTTACTACTCTGCGAATATACTCGCTCTCGGCCAAGAACAGGATCCTGGGCGGAGTCGCACTAGTGCTGAGCATGACACCCATTCTCATCAACGCGGTCAGTTGTTTTGTTCATATGCATCGTTATGTGCTTGCTGACGTGTACAGTGTACAGACCGCTGCATACCAGCGATTGCCCATCAACCTCCCCGCCCCGTTGAACTGTGAAAACGGCAACACTGGGAGCGCGGGATTTAACATTGGGTGGGTTTTCTTTCTCAGATCATACTCGTCGTGTATTGTGCTTACTCGTCGGTATGGCAGATGTTGGTACGGCAGATTCTAGATGACAGACAGTAGTAATAATCTCCCCTACAGTATCCATTGCCTCAAGAGGTTCTCTTATCCTCGTGGACTCGCTAGCCGTCGCCGTTACCTGGTGCCAAACGCGTGCGGCGATCCAGCTGAGAACAGGTACCCTGAAGCGGCTTTCCCTTGAGCAGGTTATGTGGGAAAATGGTAAGCTCGACGCGATGCGCTGCGCATAACACGGTCGAAGTCTGATCTGCGAATCTTTGTCTGCTATACAGGGGCTATATATTTCTGGTCCGCTGCCAATTTATTCAACACCGCCGCTCGTCCCCTGACGAGCCCGTCTGTAGCACACTGGTCTCTTTAAACATAGTGGATATGGTGCTTATCTTTCTTCCGGTAGGTGCTCGAACAGGTATCACGAAAGAATATACGTATTCAGTCTCCTGCTCTCAAGATTACGATAATACCAGACCAAGGATCGTCCTACGCTGTGGCGCTCATTGACCCGTACGGCAATCTCCCTGGCTGCCTCGTTGCTGCCTTTGCTTACCCGCACGGCGGAACATGTCAACAGCATCACATCCATATTGAACGGCCGCTTTCTGCTCGCACTTCACGAGACGAACGCCCGGTTGGAAGGGGCGGTGGGCGCATCCATATCCTCCCTCTCCCTCGGCACCGTGAGCGGCGACGATCCGGGGGCAGGCCCGTCTATGCTCCCGCAATTCCTCGGTCCGATCGGCGGCCCCGTCCACTCATTCGACGACGATTCGGATGATGACAACCTCGACGACGACGTGGAATCGGTAGACTTCGCACAGCCTTCGCAGGCTAGGTCGCAGTCACCTGAGTTCGAAGTAGGAGAGTGATGGAAAGTGAAGGAGACGAGCGAAAGACGGTGTAATGCCATCCATCTCTACCTTCGTCTTCTTCTTAGTACCTTTGATATCGCGAATCATCTAACATTCATGCCAAATTTGCGAGGGGAAGCTGACCGTTTGTGACGCGCTCGGACGATATGCCATCCTCATTCGAGGACCACGCCGGCCCTCGTGTGGTCAGCACGCTCTTCTAGTAGCACACCGCTTGATTCCAGTGACCGACATATCGGAAGGTTTTGGCCTCGATTGCTCCACAGATGCCCGACACCACGGACGGCGCGACTTGTCGTACAACGCGATCAGGTGACAAGACGCGACTTGCGAGACGCGCGGCGGCGCGGGCGAGTACTTGGATCGCGCGCGCCCGACGGTGGAAAAATTTGGCGATAATCCGGGAGACTCTTGAAATCCATAGGAATATCTGCAAAAAGATACAGGAAGATACCTTTGTACTAGAGGAGCAGATAGCGTGGCTAAGTGAGCTCGACCAGACGCGCGCTAATGAGCGGTGGCTACGATCGGCGCACCTCCGAGGGATTGCCCATTGTCCCTCCTCTTCCGCTTTCTCACCATTCGACCACTGTCACCACACTTTCCCCTCATCCACTCCAATACCCCAGCAGGGGCCTGAGCAGGCGCGTCGTCCCCGACGTTTCCCTCCTTCTGCGAAGCCATCGCGCGATGGAATCCCCCGTGGGCGGCACCTCTCTGTCCGAAGTGGTGAGCCTACCGTCCGCATGGGCCGTACATGCACTGCGCGAGAGTATAACCGATTTGGTATTCGCACCTTGCAGGTCCGCACAGTCAATGACTCCCTAGAACCAGCGACGGGACCTGGGGTGGCGAGGAGGCAGGTAGACGCGGCCCTCATACAGAGCGTACTCTCGGGAATGACGGCGGACCCGAGGACGGGAAGGGTATCGACTGCAACGGTACGTCAGGATACCGCTCACACTCGTACATATTCTGACGTATATCTCACGCACCTCTGTGTAGCTCGTCTCCCGTATTCTACATGCCACGATCCGCCCGCCTACCGCGATACCGACGTCGAAGCCGACGTCGACGCGGCCTCCGCAGCGCGCCCACAAGAAGATGCCAGTGGAGCTCTGGCTGCTCGTATTTTCCCACCTAGGGAAGGAAGATCTCGTCAACCTCGCGTCCACATGTAAACACATCGGCGCCATTGCAGAGGCGACCTTTTACCGGGCCATGAGCGTCCGCTCCTCCTTGGTCATCACAGCGACCACAGCTTTATCCGCGAGGCATCGCGCGGACGCGGTGAGGTCTCTCACCGTCTCGCTCGACGGTGTGGCGGGATACGCGAATTGCGCCGGCGTCGTCTTGCGCCTGGCGGGCGCGCTCTCTCAGCTTCCAAGTTTGAGGGAGCTCGCCGTCACCGGGGCCAAGCTACCTGAAGCTGCAGTGCGCGATATTCTCGCGGACTGCCCCTCGAAGCAGTTGGAGAAGTTCCACTGTGACTCGGACGTCCTGGTGCTTGCGTCCTGGTCGTCACTCACCAACCAGCGCAACCTAGAGGACTTCCGCGGGGTCTTCGACCATGTACACGCGCCTCCACCACACGTCACGCCGGCCGCATTCCCCAAGCTGCGTGTTCTGGACGCCGGCGCCCACTTCGTCAGCCGTATCGGGCGGAAGAGCGGAGTGACGCACTTGTCTGTGCGCGTTTCTCGCGCGACGGCACCGAACGTCTTGGCGAGGGTCACAGAGGACCTTGGAGAGCAGCTGGTCGCCCTCCGAGTGGTGCGTATGTTCCGCACGCCGCCACGAGGAGATCCGTTCTGGGGCTCCGACTCCCCCGTCGTGCTTTGTAGCGCTCTGAAAGCGCCTGTCCTCAAGTTCTTTGAGTTGCGGGACAAGGCTCCTGTGAACGAGGTACGTTATCAGATATTTGGCTGTTACTCGCGCTCTGTTGGCTGACCTTGCTGGTTGGCCGCTAGGGGTGGAATGCTGCCCGAGAGGCCCTCCGCTCGCAACCCGAGTTTGGGCACGCCTTCCGCACCGCCCAGGAGGCGCGCACACCGGCGCTATGGACCGTGCTTTGGAGGCCGATGTGGGAAGGGTCGGCACAGTTGGTGAAGACGGTGGTGCGAGACTATGTTCTGGACGCGATGGCATTGCTACCTAGCGTGCGAAACGTGGGCATGCCTATCATCGAGAGCGTCGCGAGGGTGCCGGGCTCCAGGGCTACGGAAGGCTGGTCTGTTTGGGAATGGCTGGAAGACATGGAAGGAGGTCCAGCTGCACCGGATTGGTGGGAAGGCGATGGAACGGTGAAGCAGTTGGACTTGTACGCCTCGTTGGAGGACACATGGGCGACTTTCCCATAGATCTTCAGAAGTGTTCTCGTATCTTTATTGACTTATTTCCTGTTGTCGAGCTGTTGTATCGCTATAGCTGTCGCATTTCATTAACTCCTCTTCGTTGCTGTTGCAAACGTACCTTCTATGACTCCACTGGGGTACGTAAGTACTGGTACTCAAGTTGTAGCCCGCACATTGATGGGGAATTTTGGCCGTGGATATCTACCTACCGGTCACCTGGTAATGCTGTAGAAAAGTTCCATGGCTTAGAGCCCTGTGTGATAGTCGTCCCTCATCCAAGTAGACCACACATCATCGTCAGAAATGAATAGAGCAGGGCGGGGTGCGCAAGCCTGTGCACGCTCACCTACGCTCACTACAAGCGAAATTTGGACTCAGTGTGAACGTCGATCAAAAGCTGGTGAGAGATTCAGTCGGCGCCCAAATAAATGCCCCATCGGACATAGAATGTATCTAAACCGATCCTCCTCCTCCGTGTGCGGCAGTGCTACCGCGCACCTGTGCGAACATACCCGCCTTACTTTGCTCACTGCTCGGGTTCCCCTCTTCTTCCGCGATGATGTGGAGGCGAGTATAACGAGTTAGGTGTAAGCCGCCCATAAGACAGCAAGCGCGTGCTTCCCGCCTTGAGGCAACCACATGCTCGAGCATCACAACAGCCTTTCCGAGCAGGAAGCGCAGCACATCGTGCGCCTCAGTATTCATCCCGCTGCACGACTGCTGAGACGTAAGCCGGACATTGCAATCATGTGCTCGTACCCTCGACTAATGCGACATTGAGTTACAGGTTCAAAGTCTATCGTACTGTTATGTCTACAACGGCATCAGTAGAGACGCAGACCCCACTTCCATATCGGCAGGATGCATCTGTCCAAACCCTGCCTCTCCTCGAACTCAGCTCATCCGCGCTTTCTGTTGCGCCAACAAGAGATGCCGAGCTTTGGTTCGAGGACGGGAACCTCGTCCTCATAGCTCGAGAAGTCGAGTTCCAAGTGTACAGGGGGACCCTCATGAAGCACTCGCCAATCCTCAAGGACATACTTTCGCAAGCGTGTCCAGAGATCTCCCCTGAACTCGGGCTCAGTTGCAACGTGGAGAAACGCAGTGACAGAGATTACACCGTCATGCGCTTATCAGACTCCCCCGAAGACCTCAGACATTTCCTCCGCCTCTTCTTCTCAGGAAGCGCACTCAAGTATGTCGCCATCCTTTTGATCGCTGCCCGTACGGCTCACCCCCATTTCATCACAGCGTTTGGGCGCTAGAGCCAACCATCCACCAGCTCTCCGCTTACATCCGCCTCGGTCTGAAGTACCAATGCGCGCAGGCGGTCGATCTCAGTCTAGGCTACCTCAAGAAATGGTACACGGACACCCGCGACGCCTGGTTCGGCGTCTCCGACCTACATCCACCCAAGTTCGAACCCGTGCACACCATCGCCGTCGTGAACCTCGCACGCCTCGCGGGCCCCGCCGGCGCCCCCATCCTCCCCGCCGCGCTCATGGTGTGCTGCATGCTCGAGGCGGAGGTCGTGAGCGGGTTCGCGCGCGAGGACGGCTCGCAGGAGACGCTCGCCCCGGACGACCTCGGGCGCGTGTTCGCGGCGAAGGCGCGCCTGCTGCAGGCGAACGTGAAGGCGACACACCGCGTGTTCGGGCAGACGGTGTCCCCACACTGCAAGCGCGCGAAGACGTGCGCGGCGGTGCTGGCGCAGCTGCTGGGCAAGCTCGTCGACGACGAGACGGTGATCGAGTCGCTGCGGTGGTCGTCGCTGTGGGGGACGTACATCGACAAGATCGATGCGGAGGGGGAGGAGGGGCGCCGGCAGCTGTGTGCGCAGTGCCATCGGATGATCTCGTACACGCGGCCGGAGGAGTTCCAGCGGGAGTTGTTCAACGACCTGCCGTCCATGATGGGCGTCACCGTGGAGAACTGGGCGGGGAAACTGGAGGATTAGTTCTGCGCATACGAGTTGGATGGTCAAAAGCCTACCGGATGAGCATCCATGGATGATATCTGAGGGATCAGAGCGTCCGAACATACACCCAGGCTCTGTTGAAATATTGATATCATGATCACAGACTCAGTATCAGGATGTATGTAGAATATATGTACTATACACTTCAGCCGCCTCCCCGCGCGCTCAAGACGTGAAAGTCGATCGCACGGCAACTGTGTAATTTTGGTGGGAGCAGAGCGAAGGTAAAACAATCCTTGGAGGAGGAATAACAACGCGGAGTGCTGAAGTGAACAATGGCCTCCTCAGCCCGCATAACTCGTCGACTGCTGTATCCTTGTGGGTGCGGCGTTGGCTCAGCACACAGGGATGACACCGCACCATGTTCAAACAATGAACGACCGGCGCGATGGCTCTTGTACTGGCCCGTGATAACCGGTGTTGCAGTTGCCATTGTAAGCGAGTAGATGAGCCCGCACACCCGGGTACACTTGCGGCAATATACGCACAGTTTGAAGCAGCTTGCGACCCGGTCGCGGTGTGCTCTTTTGATACGAGAATATACCACACGATTCGCTTATGATACGCATAGAGTGAGCGCAGAAAATCACCGTGGTTTACCAAAGAGTGGTGAACTTTTCGATCTGCCAAGCCTTTCGGTTTAGTATGCGTCGTAGAGTACTAGTAGGATATTGCAATCCGGACTCACTCTGCGGAATGCACACCTCGGCTCCTGCCACAAAGACATAGTGAAGGCATTGTATACCATGATTTTCCGACATACGAGAAAGCCGTGATGCTAAATAGTAAGAACGAAGGAGTCGGACTCGGGGGAGACGCCGAGAGGGAGGAGGGCCGGATATGGATACACCGCCTTTCTGTCGCCCTCCACCATCTGTCAAAACTAGCGCGCCGCCTAGCAGCTCGGTCCCTCGCAATGCCAGGCCTCCCCCGCCCGCCGTCGTCTCTCTCTTCCCTCCACCATCCTCCTCATCGTCCCGGACGATCCACACGATCCCCGCTGCCCTAGCATCCCACCGGCATGTCGGGCGCATACGACGAACGGCTCCTCGCGAGCGCGCCGGCCGCCACGCGCGCAGAGAAACAGGCGCGTGTCCCTATCCTAACCTGCACCCGTATGGTATGCTGACTGCCCCTGTAGGAAGGATATAACATCGACCTCCTCGACAACCGGCATGCGGCGCCCACCTCACACACTCCCCCACCCGTGCCCGTGCTCTCCGCGAACCACACCAAGGCCGAGGCGGGCGGGTACGCATACCCGCCGCCCGCACGGTTGCCGTGGTACAAGACCCGCAAGTGGATCTTCATCATGGCGCTCGGTACCGTCGTCGTGCTCGCCGCCGTGATCGGCGGTGCGGTCGGCGGCACGGTCGGGCACAGTAACAAGAACGCGGCCGCGACGAACGGGACTGCTACTAGTACCGGGGGCGGGGGTGCGGCCGGTCCGGCTGTGACGGAGGGCGCGGGTGCGGGCACCGCAGCGACAACGACGAACGCCGAGAGTCCAGCGAGTGCGGCGTCCGCGGCTCTGAGCGGAAGCCATCAGCGATAGGGTGCTTCAGCGGCGATCACTTGCGGAGCGGGAGGGTCATTTGGCTAGTGCATCTTAGTAGTGGTGAGTCCACCCGCAGCCCGTTATCTTTCAAGCGAGGACCGGGATTCATCTCAGAGGATAGGTCTGCTCATGCTTGGCTTCATAGCTGCGCTGCTTGATTTCGGACGGGTTAATCTCAACTGTATGTTATTTCAGACTCGGGCGTGCACAACAACTATCTTTCGATATCTCCCGATCGAGCTCTGCGCGCGCCAAGAATGCGTATGTGCAGCGTATACATACTTCCCAATCAGCCCCACCCCCGTAGGCTCTAGACACCTATGCAGATGGGTCTCGCCCAGGTGAGAGTATCTTGTTGCGTGTTCTGTGCATGCTGCGCTATCGCGACCCGCATATGTCGGGGCTTATGTATGAAGGATCCACGCATGTCGGCGTGTCACGTCAAGGTCGTGCCACGGTGCCTATCCCGCATTTATCCCGCGATCGACGTTTGCAGACGTACGCGTGATTGCAGTGCGACAGCCTACAGGGGCAGTCTTCGTGGGCGCGATCATCTCTCTCGTAACCCCAAGGCAACTCTGCGTCCACGCAGTAGTACAACTGTGAATCCGGTTGATTGCAATAGACGATGGCCAGGCCAGAACTACGAACGAACGTGAGTATGTATGAATAGGGACATCGAAGCTCATGGCCGCACGGCGCATCGCGCCCCTAGCGGAATCAACACATGAGGGAGAACGGGGCGGAATTACATGAGGGGGTGAGGGGGCGGTCCAGACATAATAAGCAAGCTGTAAATAGCATCAGTCGTGACTGTGGGCGCAGGAGGGGTCGCGCGCCCGCGAGCGGCAAGAGAGATAGCAGGATAGCATATGTGGATAAAATGAATGGGCAGGCGCGGGGGCGGGACTTAGATGGGGGTAGGGAAGGGGAAAATGGGGGAAGGGAGAGGGGTATCTTCCGTACGTGGTGGTGCAGATATGTTCGCGGGAACGTCCGTGCAGCCACTCGTGCTCGTAGCTGTCGTGATCGCGCGGCGGACCGTCAGTGGTCAGGTATAAGCGCGACCGTTTCTCTAGTCGCTGCTCGCTGTGGGACAACACTGGTGAGCAAGGGGGTTTGCTGTACCAAAGACTGGGCCTGGCGTACCTTCCGCAACAGCAGGCTCCTCCTTAACAACAGCGTCTTCTTCTACAGCTGCCGGCGCGTCCTCAGCGGCCTTGACCTCAGCGTGGACCGTGCCGTTCTCGGGCTTCTCAGCGGCTTCAGGCTCCTCAGAGGCTTCTGGTTCAGTAACGGCCTCAGGCTGTGCAATCTCAGCAGGCTCCTCTACAGCGGGCTGCGCAGGCGCTTCGGCCTCGACTTGAGGCGCAACCGGTGCCTCTTCGACAGCGGGGACATGCTCCTCAGCTACGATGCGGGGTTCGGTCAGTTCTAGATTAGACAACACTTTGACTGCACACATACCGGTAACCTCCTCGGCGACTGCAGAGGTTTGCTCGACTTCTGGCTCGACAGCTGTAGGGGCTTCCTCAGCTTCAGCCGCAGGAGCTTCCTCGATCTCAGCAGTAGGAGCCTCAACCTCGGCCTCCGTCGTAGCCTGAGGCTCGTCGATGGTCGCAGGCTCGGGTGCCGCGGCAGGCTCTTCATGAACGGCCGCGACCTCAAGCTCGGCGGCGGATTCCTCGGGAATGGGCGCATCTGCTACAGTACTCTCTTCAGGAGTCGGCTCAGGCTCAGCCGCAGGGACCTCGGCACTCTCGGTAACGGCGGGCTCCTCTGCCTCTGGGGCCGTAGGTTCTTCAGCAGCGGGCTCGTCAGCGACCTCTTCCGCAGCGGGAGCAACGACATCCTCGACGACATCTTCTTCAACGGCAGGGGTTTCTTCCGGCAGAACCTCCGCTTGTACGGGTTCGACAGCGGCGGCAGGTACCGGGGCCTCCTCCGTGTGCACTTCGACTTCGGGCTCCGGGGCACTCGAAAGCTCTGGCTCGGCTTCAGCAATGACGGTCTCGGGTTCGGCGGCCGCCTCAGGCTCTGCGGCAGTAAGCGTCTCTGTCTCCTCAGGGAGCTCGGGCTGCGTTGCAGGTGCCTCAGGTTCTGCGACTGGTTCCTCGACTGGTGACGCAACAGCCTCCTCAGCAGGCTCCTCAGCAGTCTCCTCAACGGCTGTCAGGGACAAAGATCCCCATCGTAAGCTTCCGGAGATACATGTGCACGACAAAATAACGTACCGGCAGGCGTGCTCTCTTCGATGGGAGCAGAAACTTCCTCCACCACCGGTTCCGGGGCAACGGGGACTTCGACTGTTTCAACAGCGAGCTCCTCCTGAACAGGGGCAGCTTCAGTTGGCACAGCTTCCTCCACTGCGACAGCCTCTTCGACCACGGAGGTTTCTTCAGCAACAGGCGCCTCTTCAGCCACAGGTGCCTCCTCGACTACAGGAGTCTCCTCGACGAGGGGCTCTTCAACCGCAGGGGCCTCTTCAGCTGCAGGTGACTCTTCAACGGAGGGCTCAGGGAGAACCTCGGCGACCTCGACAGGTGCCTCGGTGGTGACAGCTTCAGGTTCGGCAGGCGCAGCGGGCTCGGTAGCCTCGGACACAGCAGCGACAGCCGGAGCAGGGGCTTCGGCCTCGGCCTCGACTGCAGGAGCTTCAGCCTCTGCCACAACGGCGGGAGCTTCAACCTCCGTCGCAACAGCAGGAACATCCGCATCAGGCACAACGGCTAGGACCTCAGTGACAGGCTCGACGACTGGAGCCTCCTCGGCCTCCTCAAACGCCGCTCCTTGCACAACGGCAGGTGCCTCCGCAGGCGCGGCCGACGGCACAACTTCCGCCTCTACGACCTCTTCAGGAACGGCCTCGACTGTCTGCTCGACTTCGGGCTCCGATGGGGCGACCTCCGGGTTCAACGCCGAGGGCAGCTTCTCGAGCTCGGGCTCCGACGCCGCCTGCGCGACAACCTCATCGATCTTTGTCGACAGCTCCGCGAGCGCAGCGGGCTCGCTCGTGCTGAGCGCGACTTGCGGGCCAGGCGTCTCCCCCGTGAGCACAACGGGCTCGGGTGCGGGCGGGAGGGTGGTCTCTTGCGGAGCGTCAGCGTCCGCGTCCGCGGCGGTCGGCGTCGTGTCGGCGGGGACGATCGGCTGCTCTGCGACAGCGAGCACTGGGGTGTCCTCCGTCTGTGCATCCTCGGTCTTCAGAGGCTCGACTACAGCGAGGGTCGTGGCGGCCGTGGCCGAGGCGAGGAGACCGCCGACGACCGGGACGGCGGGGAAGTCGTCCGCCGTCGGCGTGAGCGGGGACAACGCATCGATGGCGGGAGATGCTGGAGCAGGGACGATGGGAGGAACAGGGCTGGGAGCCACTGCGGATTCAGAAGCTGCCGGCGTGGTGGTCATAGCAGACTCTTCGGGCTGCGCGACGACTGCTTCTACCACCTTCGGAGCGTCCGCAGGCGGCGCAGGTACCGTCTCCTTGGGTGCGGGGCCGCCGGTCTTCGCTTCCTCCTTCTCGGGCTCCTTGATCTCCGGCTTCTTCTCCGCGCCGTCATCCTCGGATATGATCTCACCCATCTCGCCGATACGCGTCGGCTTCGCCTTCTTGCGCGCGGGCGCCTTTGAATCTGCCTTGGATGCGAGCCCGCCGAGCGTTTGGCTGGACGAAAAGAACGTGAGGCGCTTTCTTGCAGCAGCGAGTGTGGAGCTCTTGCGCGCGGACATTTCTGAACGCATAGAAGGCCTGGGTGACGAGGCGCGCTTGAGCGGCGGGGAGATGTCTGCTTGAGATTCCGCAGAGACCGGCGCAGGCGGTGGCGGAGGTGTAACGTAGCGCTGCTCGAGGACGAGCCAGCTGATAGGCTTGCCGTCGATCTCAAGGCCAGGGAGGGCCTTGAGCTGGGCAACGACGAAATTGGGCCATTCAGCAGAGACCGGGTCGAGTAGCGCGTCGCTCCAGAAGTCGATGAAAGCCTCGTCGAGCTTTAACATGCTGACGACCGTAGACTTGGACTTCGGCGCAGGTACTGGGCTGAGCGGCTGCGCGCGGGCTGAGGGCTCGGGCTCGGAGGTGGCGACGGAGTTACCACGCGAGCGGCCGGGGGACGCCTTGCGTTTCCTGCTGGTCTTGCGCTCCACCACCGGGCGGGGTGCAGTGACTTCGACATCCTTGTCAAGTAAGGTGGCAACAAAGTCCTTGCCGAGTGTGCTCTCCCCAAAGCCTGCAGATGAGAAGTCCACCCAGTCCTTCGGAGAGCTAGGGGGGTTAGGGGATGTAGGCGTGGCGGCGGTACGAGCTACCGCGGTGCCATTGGTGGGGGCCTTTCCGTTACCGTTGGCCGTACCTTTCGCGGCGCTGCTCGATTTGAGCGAGCCCGAACGCTTGCGCGGAGGACGCGGTACTCGGATAGTCGGCACGCCCGGGGTCGTTGGGCCCGAAGAACCCGCCGGTATGACAGAGAGCAGGCGAATAGTCTCGTCTGCAAATATCCGCGATACGGATGGATACCCGTCGACGTGCGAGAGGATAGGCTCAGGCTCGTCGTTGGCAAGGGCGGCAGTCTTCACCGTCTCCCAAATGCTCGCAAACTTCGCATCTGTTAGCTCCAAGTCGGACTTGAGGGCATCTGAGATTAGGCGGAGGGGGTGTTGTTTCTGCTTTGTGGACTTTCCATCGACTATTTCGGTGTCGACCCGAACGTAAAGCGCGTCGTATTGCCGAGTGGAGAGCCGAGGACGAGGCAAGAGGTCCGTATCGACCGAGACTGCACTGTCCGCGGAAGGACTTCTGTTGTGGTACGGATATCCCTTCACGAGTTCAGCAAGTCGCAGTGGAATCTTCTTGCGTGCCATCTCATCTCTGCGCGCGTGGATTAACAAATGGACACATGTTCTAAAGCATATAGTAACATACCTTATGTGTGCCAAGAATAGATGCTCCAGAATTCGACCGGCTCGTTCCCAGCGAGCATAGAACGACGCCCAGTCATCCGTTTGTTCGCTCCTCTGCGCGGTGAGTAGCCAGAGCCCAAAGAACTTGGTGAGCTTGCTACCAGAGATACCATTGTGCTCTGAGTGCGCAGCGAGAGAAGATACGATATCGAGGGTGGCGATGAGCAGTTGGAGATGTGAGGGAGGAAGTTGCGGTGCCAACGCGTCCGAAAACGCGTTCGTTGCGTACGATGATGTCCTCTCTGCTTCCGAAAACACCTGGTACCACTTCCATGGCTCATCGACGCGTCCAAACGACTCGCCTTCGAGACGAAGGTGACGCAACGCCCAGCGCAGCACGGCAGCGATGTCATGGGGCGAGCGAGTGTACACCAACTCGGTGTCAAAGGTCGAGAGGGCAGAGTTAGGACTGGGAGAGAGCGTGGTGATCGGGCTTTTGGGAGCCAAGGAAAGTATGAATAAGGAGATGAGTTTGCGCTGCACCTCGGGGGAGGCCGAGTACCAAAACGGGTGCATGACCCCCAAAGTTTCGAGACCTGAGCAGAATAAACGCTTGCATTGCATAACAGTGGGGAGCACGTACCTCCATTCGCGATGATCGCTGAAGAACACGCTTTGACAAGGAGCAGCGCCTCGAGCGGGTTGAGTCGTCGCTCGCCGATCACGTTGTCAGGTAGAGCTATCCTGTCATCTGGATCACCCTCAAACACGACTCCCAGTGCGCGGCTACGTTCTTCCTTCGGAACCGGAAGATTTAGAGTAAGACGAGGAGTCTCCAGCACGGTCTTGCGCGTGTCGGGGGGAGGTGAAAGGGGACGAGACTTGGTCCTGAAGAGCGAGAAACCGGTGTCCCTCTCCTTCTCCTTCTCTTTCTCCTTTGATCGACCTCTGTCCTTGGCATTCTGGGAATCCTCTTCGAACTTGGCCGCAGATGGCGAGACTGTGGGAGAGACGGCTTCGAACTTGCCCTCGAGGAGAGAAGAAACAGAGGCGCGCTTGCTCGCGTCTTTCTCCTTCTTGCGCGGGAAGACCTTCGAGAGAAAGGAGGCCATGATGTAAGCCAAGAGTTGGACCTAACGTCCTTCACTGAGCCCGGCGCTGAGTGTTGACGCGTTGACGAGAGAGGAGGGCGAGAACAAGAAGTAACTTTGAACAAGCGCTCGCGCCGGAACGAGTCCAGCGCCCGCTTTGGTAATTCTGATTTAAGGGCAACTACTATGCATATGCATGTACGAGTCCCTTGATCACGCGATGTCATATTGGTACGTCGATATATATGGCACATAAATTCGTCGTTAATCGACGCGCACGCTTATCACGATCATATATGATATGCACGGTGCATACGCCGAAGGAAATACTATGCAACGTGTCGCGTTGTTGACATGTGTTGTGCAAGGCCTTCTGATCCTAACAAGCGCAAATAACGAATACGGATTTCGACTGCGACATCAGCGAAAGTGCACACAAATATGCACGACGACGTATAGAGTTGCATATATGAGAGTGCGTTGCAAAAGACGCCTCGCGCGGCGAAGGTTTGTAGAGCGGTTGCAACAATCAGCCCATAGGCGTGCAGACCTTGAGCGCCCATTGTATAATTGGCCTTGCCTGGTATAACTCGGCCGCGCGCGGCGAAAGCATACAGAGCTCGTGGGGTATATGCAACGCGCGGTGGGGTCTGCAAACAACATAGTAATATATTCCGATATTTTCTTGATACTCCACTTTTTCGCTAGCTAGTACTGTAGAGATCAGACGTTAGCGGCGGCGGGTTTGGGTGTGACCGGTTGGATACGATGCGGCGGAGCGGCGAGGCCCACGGTGACCTGTGACCGCACCGTCCGGAGCGGCGACTGTGACACTACCTACCGCCGCCGCGCCAGCGGCGGCCGGCGCTACGGTGTGTGGTACCTGTGTCACAAGCGGCGGCGGCCTCGGTGACCAGTGACCGAGGGGCCAATAGCGGCGGGGCGGAGGTCTCTGTGACCTGTGACGCGCCGCTAACGTCTGATCTCTACAGTAATCGAGCTGATGACGGTCACAGTGAGAAACATCGACGAAATATATTAATTTCTACATGACTACATCGAACAAGACCGACGGCGAAGGAGGAAGCATGTGGCACAAGGAAGTGGACAGGAAGAGACAGGAAGGGGCAGCTCAGGGTGCTCGAGGGGGAATAGCATGGGCGTCGTCGAGCAGAGTCGAAGCTCCCTACCTAGGATGCATACATGTACTCACCAAGAAGCGAGTAGCAACTAGACAGTGGCAAATGGAAGACGAGAACCTAGCAGATAAGACTAGCTCAACCAAGCAGAGAGGCCCGAGCAAGCCTGAGTAACCCAAGAGATACGAACTCCCAGAGGTTCGGAATAGCTATGCGAGAGCGGCCAGCACCAGAGCAGACTATCAGTACCACTTACATATAGGATTCTCAATCTCAGCCTCTACGGAGGGAATCGAAGTCTGATAAAACCAACGTACCTGAGTTGATTTAAAGCAGATAGTTCTAGACTAGTGTTCCGGACCACACAGGTGTAGTACAGGTGGTGCAATTAAGAGGGAAAGCGACGGAAGGCACGAAGGGAGCCTCGGCAGTGTTGACGAGGGGGAAAGGGAAAGGAGGACAGAGGCCACGAGAAAAGTTCCGCCGAAGGTCATGCATCCGACCCCGGTGCATCACGTAATGTGGCGAGGGAGTCCCGTCTGACGTGACAGGATGCATGAATGCACGATGCCCTGCGGCGTGAGCGTGTGTGCATACACAAAAGTAGAATCATAGGGCAAGTTGGTATTCGAGGTCGTACTGCCGATGGTCTTGGACTTCAGATTTATTCCACAGGAGCTCGCACGCCCATGCTACTCAAAACTCACACAGAAAAGCATATCCTGCATATAATTGTAAACCTTCACCTGACGGGGTGTTCATTCGTATATATGGCATAGCCGGGCAAAGGTATGCAAACCCCCGCCGCGCAAGGCAAAGGTTTGCATACCGCCAACCTGCCTTTTCGGGATATGCACATGTGGCCCGGCGCTACATAATCATGCAGAGTTTGTGCACTTTCGCTGATTCGGACCTCCGAGTCTGCGACTCCACCCCCAAAGTGCGAACGTTACTAACAAAGTGCTTGAATGTTTAACACATGTTCAGCCTTCCCATCTCGTTTGATGTTCCTACTCGCTTTTCTGCTCGCGGTCTCAACACTGCGAAATGCGTCGCGACGCTCTTGAGATGATCGTGCACACACTGGCAGCGGCGGGTCAGCACTGTCCCCCATGTGTGCGACCCACTGGCGACCGTGAGGCTCACGGTCTGCGTAACGCAAAACTTCAACTCGTTCAAGAAGCAGGCTTGTCGATAGCCATGCGAGTCCGCATATGAAATTATATAGGAAGGGCTCACGTCTTGGGGGCGATGCGCGCAGTCATTGCTCTAGGAAAATTATATGAACCGCTTCATCTCCCTATGAAGTACGGGTTCAGATCGTCGTCAGTGTCCGTGTTTCTCGCTTTTTGGGATTTTCGGTAGAAAAGTCTACTTACTTGGATTACAACTCCGTTCTCCCAAAGATACACCCGTCGCAAACGTTGTTCCGGACATTGCACGCTACGAGAGACGCGCCGTTTTAGGCGTAACGATGTCGTCCTCCCATCCTGAGAACGCGCGTTGCATCAGCACAAATATCCTCGGCATGGCGTCATGTCCGTCTCGTACCTTGTCTTGCGGCGAACCCAGATCTGAGACGCTCACCACAGCGTACTCCAGCAACTCTAATCTGATGGCGTTGGCATCGCCCGTTGGACGGGCCACAAGAACACGCGAACCGCAGATGCTATATTGAGGCCAATCAAAGAAGTTCGCGATAGACTGGACGCTCTGTCCCCAGGCGCCCCACTCGTCCCAGCCGAAACTCGGGCGTGGGTAGTCATCCCCCATCCGCGATACGCAGTCCAGTATCGCCGACCGTGGTACGGAGATGTGCAGCTGCTTCGGGGTGCCGACCGGCTGACCTTGCTCCCTCCCCTCGCAGGCGAAGACGCAAAACATCCTCTCGGTGTCGAGGCGACAGAACGAGGTATGCGGGACGGTCGCCTGTCCTCCGATGAAGACTACGCGAATGCGACTCGGCTCCATGAGAGACACGTACGTCTCTTGGGCAGTACCATCTTCACCGAACGGGGAGGAGCGGTTTGGGTCGAAGCTGTGGGCGTGGATAGCCGAATGTGCTACGGTAATCACGTGGCCTTGGTCTATCATGGCCACCTGGTTTCGGCCGTATGTCTTGACCTAGATATTTACATACAAATTACGATCATCAGACACTGAGGGGATGTTCTCTGGAAGACGCGAGGGGGCGTTCCATGAACTCACTATGTAGACAAGTATGCCAGTCTTCCAGTTCCACAGCAGGTCCCCAGTAGAGCTACAGCCGTGTACCATGACAATTGAATCTTGTATCCTGATAAAGCTCATATCACGGTAGGTTTCGTGCATCGCCAGAACCTTTATCGGGGCGAGCGCATGAGGTTTTCCTGTGGCTAAGGAACGAAATGCGAGACGAGTACCACCCCTAAGACAACAAGTAAAGTCAGAAACACGCGAAGGTTGCGGAGCAAATCAGGTAATGTTAACGAGTGCCTGATGCTCACAGTGTGACGCTGGTAAGGGTGACCAAGAGGTCCTGCGACGGGTCGATGGCAAACTGCTTCAAATGCCCAACAACCTTGTTCAGAGGGATTGTCCACTGCTCCTCGCTGCGTGCTCCAAGAGGCGTCACAAGCCGCGTGCAGAGGAGGTCTTCCGATACCGTCCGTTCAACGAGCACCCCGCTGGGATGGAAGAGCCAGTCCTGGGGCTTGTTGTGGAATGCGCCTGCGCGGATGATGAATTTTCTGGGCTCGGATAAGTGCAGCTTATGCCAGGCTTGACGATAGTGTTTGATCCGCTGCATCCTGTCTTCCAGCGTGAGTGCGTGTCCACCGGGAGGTGGTGTGTCGACGAGGTCGGCGGCTGCGAGCTCGAGTTTGTATCGGAGAGAGGGTGTCTCCCGGATCAGTTGATGCAGTAATTGGCATGTCTATGATAACGCAGATCGTGTCCGAGTCGCGATGTTAGAACGAACGTACTTGAGATATTGCAGATGCGACGCAAGCAAATCAAGCTACAGCTACTTCCACTACGACAAGGCTCACCTGTCTGCATCGGCACAATGCTTCGGCCGTTGTATTCTGCAAGACTTCCAAGAGTAACTCTGGCGGCAAACTTAACAGCGACACTGGCGGAGATGTCGCCATGATGGTTGATGGTACAAAGCATTGATGGGCACGCGAGGACATATTAGGGTGCAGGATGGGGTGTATGTCCACTTTAGGCAACTGAGTAGGTTGACAGCTATAGTGGCAGCATAAGTCGGCTTTTACTTTGCACACAAAGTACTTTCTGGTTATCGTTATGCTCCAGAAATATACATAGCACAACCACCATTATGAATTGACAAGGTTCCTTCCTGTCGATGTCCGCCGGAGGGCGTGACTTGCAGGCAAACCCCATTGACTTTGGAATTTCTATGCCCTTTCAAGATGTGCCGTTTATATACGAACTGTCTGTGTCATGCTATGCTCCCGCATCTGCTTACCTCGCCGCTACTTTCGAGTCTAGCACTTTCGGGCATGATACAGCCTCCTACATGCCGTCTTGGTTTCGAGATCGGTTCATGGGCAATCCTAATGCCCAAGCCAGAATCCCCAAAGGACCTGTCAAATGTTGCTACTACCATCTCCGAAGCGACCGCGAGGGGTTTCTCCTTCTCGGATTGATAGGATATGAGGACCGTCTATGGATGGAGGCCGAATGGCGTTTGTTGGGAAAGCGAGGAGGCGGGCGGATGCGGCCCACACAAAGAATGTACTCCCCGGAGTGATCGCAGATCGGACGGATGATCGCTGTCACGGTACGTCAGGAGGCGGCTCACACTCATGTATATCCCTAGTGACCACAAACGCACTAGCAGCTCCCCGTTCGTCGACGTGGGGCGACGAGTGTGTCCCCCGGAGCCACTGCAGCAGTCGCAACCCGCCGAGCCCCATCGGAAGCGAGCGGCTGAAGAAGCGAGCTATAGCTCAGCGTCACACCCACGTTAGGTCACCATGGGAGGACCCGTGCATCCAGGCTTGGGTTCACTGCATTGTTCGTAGCCCACCGCGCCCCATCGCAAGCGAGTTGCCGGACTGACGACTCATTGGTCAGTCTCACAGCCAGATTAAATCTCCTTGGGGCGAGCCGTACGTCCCTTGGGGTCACTAGACTACCCGGAGTCTGCCTGTCCGCGCGAGTATGTTACTACCGTATGCAAACCAGTGTAGAAATTGATCACCGTTCAATGTATGCGTGCTATTTCTGATCCCGGTAGCGGGAGGCTTGTATCTCATGCACGTGTGCTGGGATACTTGTGCTTATGAACGCAATGTTCAGCGATGTGTTCGCTTTGGAGGGCCTTGGAGGACGAATGCTTTATACGGTATACAAATATTATTTTCCGCAGTGTATGTTACTAGTAAACGCTGCTCACTTTGATAATTTCCACGGGGTGGGAACAATGAGCCCTCGGTTACTCGAAGGGCGCTTCAGGTAGGTGAAAGTCGCAAGTTAGCCACTGCCTCGACTTTGTCCTTCGCTCTCATCAACCGTCGCCTCTGATTGACCCTGGACATCTCAACGTTCAACGACTGTTAATGAAGATGCAGAATGACTGGGGCTCACCGAATTTCCGTGAAACGAAAGCCTTGGACGATACTGAATTTATGTGGCTAAACACGGATATATCGGTACGTGCCAGTGGCCCGCCCGCGCGAGAGTGCTCTGACAGACAATCAGGAATTTGACTTGGTCCACTTATTGGCGGAAGAGGAAGACACGGACCTAGACTCAAGTGCCTTAGAGGCGACCCCACGTCCAATAGAAATGGAAGGCTCTGCCAATGCTGAAGCCGAGCACCCGCCGGTCCAGACGCAGAGCACTCGCCTTGCGGAAATCCACTTTCCCCCCGAGCTGTGGATGCAGATATGCCCACACGTGGAAGACCAGGCCGACCTCGCACGCCTTGCCCGTGTGTCTAGTGGCATGCGGTCGATCGCCGAACGGACGCTGTACGCAAAGGCCAAGGTCACCAGCGTGCCCGCGCTCTATCGCTTTTATGAGAAGATTATCGAAAGCGAATGCAGCAACACTTACGCTCAACGCATCCAGGATTTGGCGGTGGACATTCCGACGTCCGTGTGGCTCGCGGATTGGGGGGTCGCCGCCGCTGTCGTCTCTTCGGAAGCTCTCTCGTGAGCCTGCACATCGAGCGGGTGTTCGAGTGTGGGGGCCGCAGGGAGTCGCCGATCCGAATTTGCGCCAACCTGAATATGCCGCGACTGGGGTATTTGGAAATTGCAGACACTGGGTTGTACACGGTCAGTTGCATACTGCTCGATCAAGAAAGGAGCTGACGCTGATGAGTTTCTTGCAGACGTATACGTCATCGCAAAAACCTTGGCGAGGGCCTTTCGCAGCGAATCGAGTAGACGGCCTAAGATACAACTCGCCTGAGCAGGTGAGAGCGCGGGAGAGGCTCCCACGTCTCAGGGAGCTGGTATGGAGCCCAATCGTCGGCAAGGACTACACGCGCTTCTCGCGAGGGTACGGAGATGGATTTGGCGGGTTCGTGAAGTGGATGAACGAGGCGGTATCCGACATGGGAGCCCTGCCGCTGGAGACCGTTGCAATCCACGTTGAGAAAGATGTGTTCAACTTCGAGCGTCGACTTTTCGCGTTCGATGCTTGGGATGGGAACAGGAGCCTATGGTCCCCCGAACTGGCGTCGCGCTGGCGGGATTATGAGGTGGTGGGCGCGGATGCTTGAGACTGGGACGGAAGAGATACCAGCTGAGATGTTGTACGAGAGCAGCTGCCCAAGGTTCGATGATTTGTACGGAAATAGGACTATCCTCTCCCATGTATCAATACTGTACCGGTTGTAACATGTGCTCACCATAGGTTATGCATGGTCATGATGTGATCACGACACGTCGAGTACATCTCTGCGTGTCTGCCTGTGTGGGTGGGGCCTGAATCGCAGTCAATGCCGCCTACGTTGCGCCCACTAGATATTATGTGCCGTCCATACTTGGTACAGTCAAATAGTACCTGCCACACACCATATCAGGCCTACAATCAAGACGACAGAGGTGAGATTCGATCGCTCACCGTGCGAAGTATCTGCGCGCTTCAAACCTGCCAGTGGTTAAAAGACCGGTTTAGCCACTGTCCACTGTTCATCTCACTCTACTCACCACCACCAACACGCCCTTTCCCACCAACACTCCCTACACGACGCTACACTCATGCAGCACTCCAACGACCAATCCTTCGACGAGATGAAGACCGCGAGCGTTGTAAGCGTCGACAATGCACATGCCGAGGTTGAGAGCGCGGTTCGAGGAGGTGCGTCCGTCGTGCCTTGCCCGCGAGTTACTACTGACGCGACAGAAGACGACCATATGCCGCAAGCTTCCGAAGGTGTTTCTGTGGACAACCGCGATATCCCAAACTCTGCGCCGGTTCACGCCCGTTTGTCGACATGGGGCGACGAATGTGTCCCCTGGAGCCACTGCAGAGGTCGCAACCTGCCGCGCCCCATCGGAAGCGAGCGGCTGAAGAAGCGGCCGCGAGCTATAGCTCAGCGTCACACCCACGTTAGGTCACCATGGGAGGACCCGTGTATCCAGGCTGGGGTTCACTGCAGTGTTCGTAGCCCACCGGGCCCCATCGCAAGCGAGTTGCCGGACTGACAACTTGTTGGTCAGTCTCCCAACCAGATTAAACCTCCTTGGGACGACCCGTACGTCCCTTGGGGTCACTACGGCGGTCTCAAACCGTACCGCACCATCGCAAGCAAAATGCTTGAGTTGCATGGAGTTCGAACTCATTGCGACTGGGAGGAACACACAAATCAGGTACGCTAGCGTTACGTATACTATATGTTAGTGAGATGACTAACCTTGAGTTGGATTGACATTCTCTATTCTCTGTGGTCGCATCGGAAGGCTGAGGTACTCCCACTAAGCAAGACGGCGGGAGGAGAATTTGAGGGCGGGGAGAGGGTATAATGGACGCTCAGTCACTGACAACGGTGGAGGGTGCGTGTGTGCGGTCAGCTATGCCTCAGCTTCTAGCTAACACGGCCTTCATTCCAGTCTAGAAGGCGAACTGTACACACTGAGGGATTTTGCAGATAGGAATTGGCTTCAGCGTCGCATTGTATGAATAGGTGGTCACTCACTGGGACTATAAAGAGTTCCGATGGGTGGGCGCCGCCGTATTGATCTCGGCGGGGGTGGCAATGGCGATCTCACGGGTGTACCAGCCTAGCGTATAGTATTCAGCGGTCAGCCCTTAAGGGTCCCCATATTTTCTGTTGATATGTAGAGCCCAGAGCAGTTATGCCGCTACGACGTCTCCTGATGTCGTCGCGCTTCCAGGCAGGGTATCCGGATGCTTACTTCCGCAAGTCAGCTGCGGTGAACGTCATATTTTCTTCCAGATATGATTAGGGCAACGGTTTAGACGACATGTTCTAGGGGTTGTTGGAGATCGGGTGAAAGAGTTGCAAGACTGCGTGAGCGCAGGTGAGCGGGCATGAAGAGAGACGTGCCTGCGTCAGCCTGAGCCTGCGTCCGAGCGCGTTCCAGCGCTTATTGAACGCGTCTTGACTAGGACTCTTATGCTCTATTCTTAAGCAGTAGTCTTGTCCTGTTCGCGTTCGCTTTTCATCCTCGGACAACAATATTGTGACTAGTGCTACTTCTCCGGGACTTGTTTCTTTGGTCTTCAGCACTCTGTCGTTGCGCAGCTGTCGACGAGATCCTTAAGGGTCACCTCTCATCCCGGTCATCTTTTCCAACGTTCGTTTCCGCTTAGTTGGTGTGTGCCCGTTCGTTGCTCCGCGTTATTCCTCATCTTCGCAAGCTCAAATTATCGACTGCCGTCGTGTTCATAATCGAATGCTCTCGATATTCACCCAGGAAATCTTGGCGATCAGTGACACGACCCCGACGATTATCAGTCTACCTCGTTTTTCGAACCCACAACCCACAACCCACATCGCCCGGAGATACCATACAAACCTTCAAATACTGTGTAACTCGCTTGCTGAGATCCTAGCAAGTCTCGCAATAGCTCAGCAGTGCACGGCAGATGGGAAATGGTGGTTGGATACATGTTTTCAAGTGCGTAGTGTCGCTGTCGTTGATTCACTGCACGCATACTGATCACACTCGTAGTTTGGATGAATGATAGTTTCTTTACACGTGCAGCAGCACCAGGTACTACATAAATGAAGTGGGGCAGCCATTTTCGGCCCTCAAACAGGATATGTCTACCTAGCCTCGTACCTGGCGGCGGGCGCGAGTGTCCAGCAGGACGATGTACGGTACGTGGACATGCACTCATCGGCGATATCGTGTCGCTTTTATTCTTGCGGTGGTAGTCTCCGACACAAGGGGGAAGCCTTGTCGTCACACTTGGCGGAGCTGTTCATACGCATCTGCCTGCTCAAGTGTCCATTAAAAAATGAGGGAGCTGCATGGCTTCTCGATCCACCAAGTTATCACAATGTGGCCTACATAACCCCGGCCTCTATTTCTGTCGCTCAAACAGCTAGGCTACTTACTCCATGTCCGGCGTCGCACGTGGGATTTTGCACATCTGCCAACTTCAGAGGGTCTCGTGTTGTCAGCCGGAGACACGGACCCCGGTCGCATTTCTCTAGAGCCTGTGTGCCGGGCTTTCAAGACCGGGAGCAGCTGTGTAAATTGCCCTTGTCCCTGTCTTGTGAACTCTGGCCGGCCCTGCATCATCGCGCACTGCATGTCAATGTTTGTGGCGACACTGCGCAGACGCCTTACAGCACCCCGCCCGAGGCGCCTGCTGAGGAACGACGATCAGCCCGGAGGGTGATAGCAAAGATCTCTGGTGAGGTACCCATCTTCTCGCAGTCTGCATGTATCAAACTCACTCTATTGCTCGCAAATTCGTCTTCTAGTGCCGTGCACGCCACCAGATCGACTTTTAGCTTGGTGTGTGCCGTATTGAGCCACCTTACTTGCCACGTCTGAATCGCTTCAAGTTAACAGCCATACTGGCGGCTCACCTACGCTTGCGGTGGATAGTTCTCTGCGCATCGACCAAAACGATGGTCAAGTATCCTAGGCCACCTGTCGTAACACGGAAAACACACGATCACCGTGGGAGAAGCACACTCCCGTACGTCTCTTTCGACTTGCGACAAGCATGGCATCATTTGTTCTCTGTGACTCGCATGTCGGACCGAATCCTATGGAGAGTTCATAACGCGCCTTTAAGTTTCTAGCATAGGTTAGCACCGAGGCAGGCGCTGAGCCGCACTTGTCGTTGACAGCAACCCGCCGCGCTCCTCTTAGCCTCTGCTTATCCGACAGTTACCCGTTGATGCGACCTCAGGGTACAAGGCCTTCGGGCGCGAGTCACCACCGCGGTTTGCCTGAACACATTGAACGCGACCCTCGAGCGATGCGCACGACTGCGCAGACAGGCTGTGTTCGTCTCCGGGGCGCCCAACACGTCCTTGCCCGTGAGCATTTCCCCGCCTACCTGCCCTTGTGTTCGCCGCATTCTACCACGATCATCTCGCACGCAGGCCGCTTCTTTCACGCGGTACGCGTCCCCGCGGGGCGCGCCAAGCGGGAAACGGGCGGCTCGCCCGCTGTCTGCACCGCTAATCCTCCTCCTTCTGGTGTCCACAGACGCCTACACATTCCGTGATCCTGCCCGTTCTGGTTAGGGCGCCGCGAGATCACCGGGAGCGGGGTTTGCGCTAGCCTTAGGAAGTATCACGAAGCCTGCCCCAACCGGATCTAGGGATTGCGGCGTCCGTAGCGTGGGCTTGTGTACGCACGCCGGGCACATGGCGGGTGCAGCGCCGAATCAGCCCGTCTCTACCGTGTTGTGAGTCGTCGTGCGCGCTCATCACTTGTTGACATATAGAGCAGGGCTGATGTTTTTGGACGAGATTTTGCTCGTTTCGGGCTTGTCCATCCTGGCGGCGTATTCCCCGCTTGACGCCCCGGGCTCTGGAGGACGCGAGTCATGCCGGCGAGCGAGCGAGCAGACATCGCCGTACGCCCTCCATTTCTCCAACGGCGCGCTCCGGGGGCGGTCGGACGGGTCGACTCTACCCTCATGTCGAGCACCGTTAGAGTAAGAAGTACATCAAAAACAGAGCAATTGGTAACCTCGTCCCCGTTGTCGCGCGCTCCATGGGTCGTCGTGGATGCGCGTTGGCCCCCCGGAGGAACATCTGCATCGGCCGCTGAGGTATGCATGAGAGCTATATTCTACCTCCCCAAAGTTCTGACATCCCCACAAAGATATCGAATGCCAGCGGCCGCCTGCTGGGCGCTGCACAACGAATCTAAAATATTGCTGTACCGCGGCCTCCCTTAAGCCCGCCCAATTCGGGTGCTCAGCGCGAGGGCTCGAGTCGCCCCATCGGCCTTGCTATGTCGCAACATTCTCCTCCCGATCACTTGGTTTTCCGCGGTGCCCATGGACCATATCGCTACGCATGTGCCCGCAAGGCCCATTTGTTACTCAGGCCGACGACAGAGCATAGCGGCAGACAGACATATTGTTTGTGCTTGGTAAGGGATCTCAAACCGCCTACCGTTCGGTCTGTAACTTACCAGTACTCTTCCGGCACCCTGAAGCAAGCCTCCTATACGTGTTGGCCGACCGCTTGCTATTAGTATATGCCGATCACTTGTGCCAGGCATCGGTCAGCAGTCAAGACGCCGCGTCGGCGGTTGCTTCCGTCTGTTCTCTTCTATCCCGATCGGTCATCGTGGTGTTCGATCCAGTCGCTACTTTGAAGGGGTCGTACCACACCAGGATGCCTGCGTAGTACACCGCTTTCGGTCACGGTGCGTGTGCGTTACACAAAATCATGACGAGCTCCCGGTCAGTCGCCTCTTCTTTCCATAATATCTACGTCGCCTTCAGGACCTCGTACCAGCGGTAATCCTTGTGCTCGTCATCAATACAGGTACATCGGCTGAGCACACTCAATCATCGGACCAGTGTCAACCCTGGCGCGCCCCTAGAGGACGCGTCAGGATCGTGACTCCGTAACAAGACTCTGGACTCTGCTTTCAGTACTGCCCGCCCTCGCCGAGAGGCGTGCATCTTGAAGGGTGGCCTCTACCTTTCTACCGTTTCTCTTTGCTTACGCTCCTTGTCCCAGGTTTCAAGCTCGATCGGCTGCACGAACCAAAATAATGGGCGCCCGTTGTGCTCACTCCGGCGGTACGCCGCCACACGATCGATCAGGGGGCGCATCCTCCTGTGTTCAGCACGCCCCTGTCCGGCGTTCAAACATGGCCACCTCGCCATTGGTAGCCCGGGATGAGCGATGCGCCTGGTGAGCACTTTGTTCTACCGTTCAATTGTGTCCGACGGGACGCAACGAGGCCAGGCTGGACGCTTTCTAGCCAGGCACCTCGCCCTACGCAGCACACTGGTGTATATGATTGATTTCATTCTTCCACCACACTCACGGTCGCGGGTTGCCTACGGACCACAGCACCCTTTCGTCTCCATCGTCATGCCCATGATGATGGACATAATGCTTGACGATGCACCGCATACTGCGGTCTCGAGTTGTTTGCAACGGAACATACGTCAAGCTTGACGCGTCCAGTCTGCACGTCCAGTGCCGGGATGTGCGGATCCCAGCTGCGTCCGAGGGTCCACGCAGCTCGTCAGGAGGGCGTCATGATATACGGCGCACCGCGCACAGTTTGCAAACGGGGGTGCGCGACTGCGATCGCGGGCAGGATCCCAAGCTCGTCTCGCCGCCGCGCTGCGCCCCGTGCGCCTCCCTCAAGGCATTATTGCCTGTGATACAGCCCAGGGCGCCATAGTGTCTTACTCCGGGAATATACGCCCAAGTGCTATTTTGAGCGGGGGTAGGAGGGCGCGCGGCCCGGTGCTAAGTTCAGAATCCCGGGATGCCCAGCGCATCCGAGTGTGCGCTCGTCGCTGCGCATCTCCGCCGCCGCCTTCGCGTGCTCCCGCGGCTTTCAGACTGGCTCATCAGGGTGCTATTATACGATGCTTCCTCATGAGCTGGGCAGAGGTCTTACTCGACCGTCAGCCGGAAATTTGTTGACTGCGGAGGAACAGGGCTCGTTCAGAGTTGGACGTAGCTCTGTGCTTCGAGACTTCGCACGAGAAGACACACCTACGGGCGCTGACGTCGACGCGGGAACAAGCAGCAAGGGACATGCAGTTCTCGTCGCACTCGCGGGCCGGGGCGGACATTGGAGGATGCTGTCAATGCCAGTACTTACCCGCGGACTCGCGGGCGAATCTCGCTACTGGCAAGGAACGTCGCTCTTGATATACAAATGCGAAGCCTCCGATGTCCCCAGGACAGAGAGGCGGCGGCCCGCGTCGACGCCCAAGGAGCCCGATGCGACGACACCGGTGCCATCCCGGGGCTCCGCCACGGATCTGCCGTCCACGACAACTCTCATCTCTCACGCACAGTCGGAGTGCCGCTCTGGGGGCGCGTATGGTCACCCCTTGCGTCCCTCGCGCGGGCCGTCCATCATCTCGCTCGCGACTTCGAGGCTTCGACTGTCTACGGCCCTGAGTGGGGGGTCGCTCACTGGAGGAACACGTCTGCCCAGATGGCGGGTGGACGCAATCCGCTCGCGCGAGTGCGCCGGACGTCCGACGCCTGATCTGACGCAGAACCGCGTCACGCTGTCGCCTCCAGCGCACGCGAAGCGCGAGTCTGACGGCGCCGTCAGTGTCTAAGAGAACAACGAACGCGGGGGCACGCCCACGCGTCTGTGCTGTGCGCGTACGAGGCCGTTTGGGGACGACAGCGGGTGTCTGCGCGACGCTGCTCGCCCACGCGCGAGGCCCTGGTGCCTGCACGAAGGGGAAGGAAGACGACGTCAGCCGGGAGTGTGTCTGCGTCTCAGGCTCAGGCTATCGTACAGCGTCCGAGCTCGCCCACACTCTGTTCTGTGTCCCTGGAACACTGCGTTGACGGGGTGGCGAGTTGCAGGGTACGTCGTCTCCGCCGTCGGGCTCGAACACGATCGCGTGTGGGGGAAGGGCTTCATCTCGCTGCGGGTGGGGGGATACGGCGGCGGGCACGTCCAAGCAGATAGAGTTGGCGCATGACGCCCGTGCCGGCCAGGGACGAGAAGGTGCGAAGAGTGCGCGTGGGGGCGGCTGGGCCCGAGCTGCCGTACGCGTCGATGCTTCGCGCGAGCCCGGACGGACGTCCGCGGTGCGTTGTCTTCAGGGCGTGCTAATGTGACGACGGGGCGGCTGTCTGCGGTGTATAGTGGACGCGACGCGGCTGCACTCAATGGCAGGGGCGCTCTCTGGCTCTATGCGGCTCTGGCTGAAGGGGACTGCGAGTATGCTGAAGGACGACTCGGATCTGGTCAGGTACGACGATACTACGTACGATCAAAATCGTGCTAGCGCTGCTGCTCACATCTCCCCATCTCTCAGCCCGGAACAGACCCCCAATTCACGAACAGATCTGAGGAGGCCTGCCGGCGGATCATCATACCATGGCCATCGACGACGTCCACCGCCCCGCCCGCTCGCCCACTATCAGCACCCTGTCACAGCAGTCAATCAGGCAGAACCCCGTTCACGTAACGGTGGTCAGCTAGCCGTACGCACGGACGGACGATCGTCACTGTACTGCCGTCTGCGGTCAACTCATCGAGTTTCGTGGGCAGCTGTCACGGCTCTCACTGCTGCGTCTGCCACGAGGGCCCTCTGGATGCCGAGTGGCATGCCGGGCGTTCCCAGGGTCGCAGACGCGACCCGGCGGAGGAGGGTGAGAGGGCGTGTGAGACGAGAAGCGGGGGCGGGCTTCCGACCGGCGGAAGGGGGCTCGAATCTGGATACTGAAGGGCCGGAGAGGTGCGAAGGCGAACACAGCGATATTCCTGGGCTTCGGGAGGTGGGCGATCGTGTGATGGAAGTGCTGTTGACATATATGGATAGTGCGATTTTCGTCGGGGAGTTTGAGGGGTGATGGGGTGAAATGAATTTCTCTCTGGATCTACTGCTACGTACATGGCGCTCAGCGCAAAAGTTGACGTTGAGCTCGAGGAGGCCCCGGGTGCGCTGGTAACCGATGCCGAGTACGTTCGCGGCCGCATATGCATGTACGGACCCGCAAATCCCTATGCAGGATGCCATCCGACCACGAAGCATCCCAACTGTTGATCCTACACCATCGCTCGGTATTCCCAACCACGCAGCTCAATAACCCTACTGAGCCAGCGCACGGCGGGCCCCGTAGCGCACGCCCGCCGCAGTAGGCAACACACCTCCTTCCCAGCATACACTACGAAGTACGATCCTCAGCCCGAGCTCGACGAGCGAAAGCCAAAGCCTGCGGACCGGGCCCTCAGCGAACCGACCTGCGCCCGCATAAGCCCGGTCTCGAGCTCGTAGTGCGATTGGCGTCCTCTCCGGGGCCACAACCTACTGTGTTAGCCCCCGCCGAACCGAACCGACCTGCGTCCGCCCGCTCAACCCGCCGGTGCCACAAGCCCGTCCCCCCTGGGCCCTCTCGGGTCCGCACGCGCACGAGCGAAGAAGGCGCGCTCGGGTACCGTGCGTGGACGCGAATAAGCATCGCCATGGGCACGCGCGCCGGCTCGACGATGCTGTGCTGCGCGGGGTCGGGTATGGCGAGCCGCGAGTGCGGGCGGGTGCCTCCCGAGGTCGTTGTTCTTTCTTATTCGCTCGCGTGGGGGTGGTTACTCACCGTTCGGCGTTGACTGGGGCGGTGGCCGGTGCCGAAAGGTGGCTGCTGAGGGGGCGCGCGCAGAGTCAAGCTCGCGCGTAGAGTCGAGCCAGAGAGGTCGCCCGGTGGAATGAAGGAGCACGCGCGCGGTAACTTGCGCCCTTTCGGGGCGAGAGATGCGAGCTGAAAGTCTGCACGGCGAGGGTGATCGGGAGATGGGAGGTGCGTGTGATGCGCGCGTGCGTGCGAGGGCGAATCGGGCGGGTGCGCGGGAGGCTGTGTGCGGGCTGATGATGAGAGGGCGAGTCGTCATGATGATGGGGCGGTGGCAGGGCACAGATGTCAGGATGGCCGGGGCCTGAGCTTGACTTACGCCTGCAGGTCTACGGGGACGTGCAGCCGATGCGATGGCTGAGCGTGGGCGAGGTCGACCGCGACAATGGATGTTACAGTGCAGCAGCAGTGCCATGAGGTGCAATTAATTATGCCGAGCTCGAGATGGTCGTGTACGCGACACACCGTGCAGAGAGAGGGATCACGACAAGCCCGAGGCCAACTGCTTGAGCGAAGGCATCAGGCGAGGCTGGGGACCGGGGATCTTTGCGATCTGCCATGTCAAGGCTCGCGTAGGTTCACGGCGCATCCTGTTCGACTCCGGGCTTCTTGTGCGACCTGCCAGGGCAGCCGTTGCATGCAGGATGGCCGTCTGCCTGCCAAAAGTCCCCCGCAAGCGGTCCTCGAATATCTGCGCGGGTCCCCTCCGTCGGTCCGGTCGTTGCCTGGCCCGCACGCTCGGTGTCGAGGGGAGGGCGTGGAATGTGCAAAGGAACGCGTGGGGGTCCGTGTCCGCGTCCGAGCGGAATGGACAGATCTCCTAAGCCTGCGCGAGCGATCATGTCGACGCGCGTGCGTATGTGTTAGGCCGAACATCATTTCATTATGGCGTTGAGAGAGAGTGTGTGTGCGATTTCGAGGCGGCGAGGGGGCGGCAGGCCCGGCGGGTGGAGGTGGGCTGTGCGCCGGGCTGGCCGGAGGACGTCCGGGAAAGGCTCGCGGGCGAAAGGGGAGTCGGGCGAAAAGCCTGAGGTCGCTTTCGAGGTCGGAGCGCTGGGAGAGAGCGTGGTGGACGCGGGTGGGCGACTATGTTGAGCTGGAAGGGAGAGCGCCGCATCGAGGCTTGCCAGATTTACTTAATCACCTCGCCCTCCCTCCGCCGTCGCCCTGCCCCGTCCCTCCCTCTCCCTCCGTCCCGCCGCCGCGTCTCCCGTTCCCCTACCTCACCCCCAGAGCCCCGCTCGCCGTCGAGCGTGTGCCCTACTAATTCTAATCCCTGTCCAAATCACACGTCCTCCTATCTTGCCTGCCCTACTACTCAGCTTGATAATTCGTCCGTGCCCCTGGCCCCTGCGCTGTCTGCTTGTCCCGCCGAGGTCCGTGTCACTCTCGCTGCGCCCTCCTGAGCCAGCTCTCGCGCGTGCACCTGTCTCACCCGTCCTCCGCGGACCCCCACGCACACACAGTAATGTACGTCCATCTCCGCAGTTTCTCCTCCCGCCCGATCGTCCTGTGCTCACCCGACGCGTCCCCGTCCATCCTTGTTCCCCCCGCCCGCCTGCAGTTATACATAGGCCGAGCACGTCCCGCACCACCCACTTGCACGCTCTCTCTCGTCTCTGTATCCCAAGTCCCGTTCGCAGGCCCCCACTTTCGCACCCGCCCTTCTGAAGAGTACTCCCCGTATAATGGACAGCCTAGTTTCCCAGCACCCGGCCGCATACAGCCAGTTCGCGATCCAGGTCGACGCGCACGCCTTCCCCCACCCTCCTCCTCCGCATCGTCCTCTGCATCCTCGTCTTCTTCACGATCGGC